TCAACTGCACGAGGGATACGACATGGAATGCGTCTCTAAACAACTATAAACTACTTGTAATCTTTTCCCCTTCTCCGTGGCTCGTATGCCGTTTAGTTTTCTGTTCTCTTGCTATATGGCTCTTATCATACCCAATACACTTGCGTCACGTTGTTTGACAATTTCTAATGTGTTGGTGTATCCAAACAACGATTATTTCCGTACCTGCATGTGTTGTCTTGTTGTTGAAAGCTGAAATACTAAGCAGTAGTCTATGGTGAACAAGTGGACTTTTTTTCTTTTTTGCTAGTGATGTTTTTACATTGCTAGTTATCCACCTGCATCAGATGGTCACGCGACTGATATACCCCTATCATTTCTCGTTCACGACTTGATATTTACCCGAGCAAAGACCGCGTGGCAATTGACTATACCTCTCTTTTTTAACTCACTGTTGGAGCAGGAGAACATGCAAACGAATCACTCAATCCCCTTTCATCACAAGCTCAGCGGTAGAAAGATCCAAAGTTGGTCAAAAACACAGTCATTTTTGGTATACACCGTGAAGCAAATTGGCTAAATAATATACATAAAAGGCGCAGCCAAATAGTTAACAAAGTGAAAAAAAATAATGGATTATGTACATGAATACGTTTTTTTTTTGCTTTCTCGCTCAACTCTCTCGCTCAAGCAACGTTATTTTCCGATTCTTTCTTCTTTTAACCGGAAAGACACTGCGAGTAGTAATCGTTTTGCTTGACGCACTTCCAGCCGTCAGCACAGGTAGTGGGGCCGTTGTGCCCGATGCCACCGCAGCGCTCCCACTTTCCTGCTGTGCCAGGCACACCAGCTGCTGGGCTAGAGGGCTTAGGGGCCTCGGCGGGTTTGGAAGGGGTAGCTGGGTTTGAGGGCTTGGAAGGCTGCGTGGGGCTGGGGGTGGTGGACTCGACGGGCGCTGGTGTTGCGGCGGGTGCTGAAGCAGCGGGGGCACTGGGTGTGGCGGATGGAGTGGCTTCTGGGAGCTCGACGGGAGCAGAGGTAGGCAGAGTAGAAGGAACAATGGGAGAAGCCGGGGTCTCGGGGACGGGGGTGGTGGTGTTGCCGGAGCCTGGGGTTACGGGCGTGCTGGGTGTGCCGCTGAGCTTCATGATGCGGGCGGCGGCGGCCTCGGCGGCGACCATGATGATGGCTTGAGTATTTCCGGTGGGGAGATCGGGGTGGATGGAGGCGTCGACGACGAAGAGGTTGTCGGTTCCGTAGACCTTTGTGTTGGTGTCGACGACGACGCCGGGCTCGCCCTTGGTGCCAATCTTAGCGGTGCCGACGTAGTGGCTTCCTGACTTGAATGATTTGATGAGGTCGGCGCTGGTGACATTGGTGACGCCGGTAGGGGCGATGAGGGACAAAGTTGAGTTGGAGCCCTTCGACATGTTGATGAGACGGTCCATCATGAGGGTGATGGCTTCAGTGTCGACCTTGGAGGTCATGTGGGGCTTGGTGATGAAGGTGGTTGCGCCAGCGGCATTGATACCGAGGCTACCGACAGACTTCAGGCCGTGAGTGATGTAGACCTTCATCTGGACAGTGTCGTCTTCGGGCGAGTTGCAAGTACCTTGGAAGAAGACTTCACTGCCGTCGGATGTCTTGACGGAGGACCACCAGTTCAGGCGCTGACCAGACTCGGCAAGCATACCAGAGCCCTTGGCGAAGAGGTCAATGGTGGTTTGGTTGGGAGTGATAAGAGGCTCCTTGTCAGTGGCAGTGAGAGGAGAGCTGGTCTTGAACTTGACGGTGAAGATTGGGTGGTCCTTGATCTCTGCTCCGACAGGGAGGTCAATCCAGTCAGCTTCGGCGGGCAGCTTGACGCCAGTGGTGCCGGTAGCAACAGTCTTGAGTTGTGCAGCGGGACCGATGCCAGAGTTGAAAAGGATACGAGGAGTCGACATGGCACCGGCCGAAAGGACGACACGGCCTCCAGCCTTGACGTTGTAGATGACGCGCTTGCCATCGGCAGTCTCAACCTCAACACCGGAGACAGCAGAACCCTCGCGAACAGCTCGGACAACGTTGGTGTTCATCATGAGCTTGAAGTTGTCGAGCTTCTGGGCAAGAGGGAGGTAAGTTCGGACACTACCAGAGCGCATACCATTGGCGATGTTCCAGGTTGGGTGGCCATAGACATCGACCTTGTTGTTGGGGTTCTTGATGAAGTCCGTCTCCTTCCATCCCTGGCTAGCAAAGAACTTGGACAGAACAGTGAAAGCACCGTCGTCATAGCGGACACCATCCTGCGAGCCGTAGGTCTGTCCAGGGTTGCGCTCGTATAGACGTTCAGCAGCAGCGGAAACATCGGACCACTTCCAGCCAGTAGGCCACTTGTCGTCGAAGTCGCGCTCCTGGGGCCTGACGTACATCATGGCGTTGACAGCAGTGCCACCACCAAGGAGACAGCCTGCCATGTCGGCAGTGTCGGTGCAGTAAGCAGGGCTGCCGACATCGCTGAGATAGTAGCCGTATGCAGGCACATCATACATAGAGACGGAGCTGTTCCAAGAAAGCGTCTTGACATCGCCAGTGAAGGCGTATGAAGGACCACCGCGCTCAATCAAGAGGACCGAAGCGCCGCCCTCTGCAAACCTCTGAGCGGCAATGATTCCAGCTGCACCGCCTCCTGCAACGATGTAGTCAAATGTCTCATTTGCAACAATAGCAGTAGAGTTGCCGGAGATTGGGGTTGCAGGTAGTGGTGCAGGGGCAGTTGAGTTTCCTCCAGGGGCAGGGGTCGTGGAGTTGCCGCCGCTCGGAGCACCTCCACTTGGAGCATCTCCAACAGCAAGCGCAGCCCATTTGGCAAAATCAGCGCTCTTTGCGTCTGACATCTTCAGACCAAAAGCACCAAAGCCGGCGTCGTGGTAGTTGAGGCCAGCAGAAGCTGTGGTCGAATCGGTCAAGGCCTTGTCTGACCAGGCCCAGCCCATGATGTTGAGGGTTTCGGAGATGACAAGGCCGAGAGATGAGTCGTCGCTCAGGCAATTGGAGCACAGGAATGTGTATGAGAAGGCCTTTTCGGTGACAAATGTGCCATCGGGAATTGTCTTCATGGAGAAGTTACCAGTGACCACGGGCGGGCTGGTGTAACCATCAATTTGACGGAAAGACGAGAGGACCTTGCCCTCGTTGGGCCAAGCAACAATGAGGACATTGCTCGTCATGGACTGACCCATGCTGAGACCAGCCCATCCGCCTCCATTGGTGATGGGTGCTTGGATCTGAGCAATGAAGTCGGTTGTAGGAGTCTCGGGGATCGCATAACCAAGTCTGTACCCTGAGTCGCCAACAACACCCTGGAACTTAATGCCAGTCTTCTCATCCGTGAAGGCAGTAGAGGTCTGAGCCACAGCGCGTAGCGCAAAGAGGGCAGAGGCCAGAAAGAATGAACGAGCCATTTTGGCAGTTGTGAATAGGATATGAAAGAGTGTGTGGGTTGTGTGGCTCTGCCGACAAAGAAAGTGTGAAGCCGTCAAGGCTATGTACAATGAGTGAAAAGCAACGTTCAAAGGAACGAGCAAAAAAGAAAGAGTGAAAGAATGGTAGAGCGAGACAGCGCGTGTACCGAACATGGATATCGCGGCGTGCTTCTCTATATATGTAGGCTGTATGCAATGCGTGCCAAGTCATGCTCAATCTATCACGTCCACGAGAGAGAACCACCTCCGACATGTGCCCCACCGAACAAGCTCAAAATACAGCCCTGCGATCATGCAAAACAGTATTCTGGACTTCCATGGTCCATGATCATGGTTCACGAGCGGCGCTATGCATGTCATGATGGTTCCTGGCGTTTCCACCACTGCGGGAGGTTAATTGCACAGCATACAAGTGCAACCAGGGCCAGTGCACAATACAGCAATTGAAGCAATGCCATTTGCTGGCTTGCTTGTTTCAACGCCCGCTGGGCATTTTTCTGACGTCGTGGAGGTGGAGTCTAGCTGTTTCGAAACGAGGTGCCGAGACAAAGGCCGAGTCCGCTGGAAATTGCCTGTGGGCCGCCGTGAAAAAAAACACCATCTCGCACAGATAGCATGCGTTCGAGCATGCGCTCGCTTCACTGTTTGACTTGCTCGTTGCGAGGACCGGGCTGAATTACTGTGTACAATTGACATTGTACATAGCGGCCAAGAGAACGCGAATGGTAGATACGAAAGGAGCTGAGATGGAATGCAATCAAGTCGTCGCGATGTTGTTGTCCTCGCTCAACGGGCAATCTCAGCGCGCTTCTTCGGAACGCAAACTCTGTCGAGACCAGAGAGAGTCTTAGCGCAAAAGTCTATCGGAAAGGAGGAACAATTGCGAGCTGTTGGCGGAAGCGGGTGGTCGAAGTGTTGGTGATGGCCAAGATGAAGGGGCGACATTCGACGCCGCTTCACTCATGAACCTATCGCATAATCAGCCAACCAGCTATTGGATTGCTTCCTCAAACTATGTGAGGGATTGCTAACGAAGAAGAGTAAGATGATAAGTGGGAAGTTGTCTCAGGATTGAGCTCATCTGGTCTCCGTCAATAAAAAATACAATATTCCTCACGTCTATCATGGATGTAACATGAGTCTGGATACATTGATAGATTCGACTAGAGAGATTATGTACTACTAGGTAATGTCCTTTTTCTGGGGCATGTGGGTCCCCTAAACGGCCGTAAGGGCGCCCTGGCAGGCATTGCCACATGGTAGCCAGGCACATCAGGTCTGTCAACCTGTCAACGAGGCTGCACCGGTATTCCGATGGCATAGCGACCGACATCGAGTAGGTCGACTAATAAAATGACGGCGGATAAGGATATGCGGGGTAGGGTAGTAGGTGCATGAGGGGTGGCCTAGTACATCCTCGGCTCATGGTAGCGAGCTTGGAGGTAAACTATCCCAGTACGCGCAACCTTTGCACGACAAGCCTACCTCTAGCATATCTGCCATCTTCATCATACAATTTTTAAAAGCATCACCAGTCTCCTGGAATAGCTCAAGATGGCGACCAAGAGTGAAGTACCAGTCTACGTACTGGGCGTGGGTCTCACCAAGTTCATCAAGCCCCGACAGACCCGAGCTTACCCGGAAATGGGCTACGAAGCTGGCGTCAAAGCCATGCTGGATGCGCAAATCAACTACGACGATGTTGACACTGGAGTCGCCTGCTACTGCTATGGCGACACGACCAGTGGCCAGAGAATCTTCTACCAATTCGGTATGACCGGGTCAGATACTACGAACATTCCCCTGCTGTTAGCGCGACTGACTCGCAGTTAGCATCCCAATCTACAACACAAATAATGCATGCGCCACAGGCTCTACCGGCCTGCATCTTGCTCGCAGTCTGATCAAGAACGGAGCCATCGATTGCGCCCTCGTGATCGGGTTCGAGCAGATGCAGCCGGGCTCCATCAAGTCCGTCTACAGTGATCGGCCCTCACCCATGGGCCTGTCGATGCGCATGATGGCCGACACCCGGGGCATCACAAACTCCCCACCCAACGCCCAGTACTTCGCCAACGCCGGCGTCGAGTACATGGAAAAGTACGGCGCCGAAGCACGTGACTTTGCAGAAATAGCACGAATCAGCCATGAGCACAGCTCACGGAACCCCTACGCCCAGTTCAGAGACGTCTACACGCTCGAGCAGATTGAAAAGTCACCTATGATCCACTTTCCGTTGACAAAACTGCAATGCAGTCCTACCAGCGACGGCGCAGGCGCCGCCGTGCTTGTGAGCCAAAAATTTCTGGATGCCCGACCGCATCTCAAGAGCCAGGCGATTCTCATCGCAGGCCAGGCACTCATGACGGACTCGCCACAACTATACTCCAAATCCTCCATGGACCTCGTCGGCTACGACATGACGAAGCGCGCAGCGCAAGCCGCGCTGAAAGAAGCCGGTGTGAGTCCCAAGGACGTCAAAGTCGCCGAACTTCACGACTGCTTCTCGGCCAACGAGCTTATTCTGCTTGAGGGCCTAGGGTTCAGTGAGCCCGGGAAAGCGCACATGATGGTTCGCAACGGTGACATTACTTATGGCGGTAAAGGCCCCATTATCAATCCCTCGGGCGGCCTGATTAGCAAGGGACATCCGCTTGGTGCAACGGGTCTGGCACAATGCGCAGAGTTGACATGGCAGCTGCGTGGCTGGGCTAATAACAGGCTTGCCGAGGGCGCAGATGTAGCGTTGCAGCATAATCTGGGTTTGGGTGGCGCCGTCGTCATTAATGTGTACAAGCGTGCTGATGGGAACAAGAATGTCAAGATGAGTGACGACGACGTCAAACGCGCCAGCCAGTTTGCATACAACCCGGCGATAGAGGCTCGCTATGTGACTAAGGAGGAAGGCGAAAAGGTGAGGAGCAAAGCTGCAGCTTCGGAATACGCGCTGGGTGATACGCTGGAAAAGATTCAGAGTCGGTTGTGAGTTAATCTAATGTGAGCGATTATAGTTACGCATATGTTTTCAAAAGACTCGTGATAAAAAAAAAGGTATTTTGCAGAAATTGAATCCGAGACATCTAAATCTAAAATGAGTTACAACATTGAAGAAACAAATCGAACAATACTCCTGCTAGAAAATAATTGGATCGTCTGCAGTCATGACAGGTCTTCATACAGGTCCCTGTTCAGGTCTTCTGAAAAGTCTTCTGAAAGGTCTTCTGCTTGGTCCAAAAACCGGGGATCTATAGTTTGAGGCCATTGCGTATCCGTATAATTTGGATCATCCAACGCCGGGCATGCTTCAGGCAATGCTATATGCTCTGGCAACATCCTTTGCGTGGTATCCAAGTCTGAAATTTCAGTGCTTTCTGACAGCCGGCGGTAAGGGTGTGGCGAAGTGAGGGGGGTGAGAAGCGAGCCTTCTATTGGGTCGTATACTGAAGATGAATTTGTTTGTGAGGGGAAAGGCGTATGAGACGAGGAAGTGCCTAAGTCGGCACGACTTGATTGTCTACTCAGAAGAGGCGCACAATAATTGATGCTGGGAGGTTTTGCCGGCTCATGTTGTGTCGACTGGTGCTGTCCAGACCAATCATGTGGCATGGTAGTGTTACTGGAGCCGAAAATATATTCACGAGGTTGAATAGGGGTGGCAAAGAAGCTCTCCGGTACTGGTGTACTGTGGTCTTGAGGCGGTTCATGCGAAGAGTGGACATTCGCCATGTCCACCACTGTCGCAGCTTCGTTGGCGATAGCTTGTATACGCCCCAGCTCACCGTACAAGGCTCTCTCCGCCAAGGTCCCAAAACGTTGCGCAGTATCGTGAAAGATTTGACTGAGCGGATAGCTCGCGCCGTGATACATTGGTGGGTTCCCGCTAGGTTGGAGGTTGTTAGTGAAACCTAGCGTGGCACCGGTGGCAAGAACGCCATCGGGATGATTGGAGATCAGTGTATTAAGCAGATTCAATATGCCGATTGCGAACTGCGAGGCGGCGCGATGCGATTCATCTGGAATAGGATCTGTCGGAGGCGATATGCCATGGTCTGCCTCCCTCTCTGTATGTGCTTGCTGGTCTAAAAAAGAAGCCGATGTATCGCGTAACAAGGCTTGGCATTCTTCCCATATTGTTTGCGGCAACCAGTCCTCCTCACCACAATCTATCAAGCAACCATCAGCAAAACAAATTCATCATGGAGAATAGTAGACTTACAGGGGTTGGGAATCCTGGTAACTCCAGGATAGCGTAACATATATAGTCGAGCCCATTCCCTGACAATATCTCGACACTGAGGCTTAAATCTACATCTCTTCGGACTGATGTGTGCATTGTAGAGATGTTGGTCGTCGAAATCCTTCTTGCAGTTGGAACACTGCCAAGCTCCTGGGCGGCCGCGATGAGTAACCCGGTTGAGATGGTGTCGAACTTTAGACATGTATATCTCACCACATCCTTTGCAAGGTGATGGCCCGAGGTTGGGATACATGGTATGATGTTTGTCATCGGGACAGTCAACCTTTCTAGGCAGTGGATCCTTAGTCCGGTTACTTTTGGCGACCTTAAAGGTATTTTGCTCTTGACTACTGTGTGCCATCTTTCCTTTATCCCGGTAGTGTAGGTTTGGCTTGGACATATCAATACCCCAAGCATTTGATGCAGAACCTTCGCCCCTGGAACGACCAGTATTTCCAGTAGACCCAGAAGGATGACAGTGTGGCACAGCGTCGGTCATTATTTGGTCGGTTGGATCTATTGAACCAGACTCGATAGCGCGAACAATGACGTTGATCTCTTCCAGAACTCTCATGTACACATGGTATGCATCAGACCTGGGGACTGTTAGTATACAAACAGCAAGCATGTTGTTGGATCACATACTTTATATGACTGAGGTACTGAACCATTCTCGTCAATAAGGTCAGGAACATATCGCGTAGCCGGGCGTACGTCTCATTGTCCAGTTGTGTATATATCCGACACAAGGCATCTCGGGTGGAACGAGGTACCTCATCTATATCGATAGTGTAGGTGAATTGCGGTAGCGGTGCCGAAAACACATCCGCCTTCTTGCCCAGGCGAGACGCAGTCCGGCGGCATGAGCCATTACCACTGGGGTTGCAATGCAACTCAGGATGATGCTTACGCTCATGTTTGACACGAGCGTCTTGACGCGCAAAGGTCCTAGAGCATCCATGAGCCGAACATGTGAGCGGAACTTTGGCTGCTTTGGAGTGTTTGTGTCTCGCATGGCGTGCAAGGTTTCCACGTCTGTACCGCCCTGTGAACTCAACGCCGCATTGACTGCAACCCAAAGTATTCCCATCAATGACCGTGGATATAGATATAATCGGGGCAACAGAGCTTGGAGGAGGAGGAGGAGGAGGAGACGAAGATGAGTTTACTGGAGGAGGAAAAGATGGGCGAATTGGTGGGGCTATCACATCGGCGTGGTAGTGCTGGTTGGGATGTTCGTGGGTGGGCGTCGGGATGCAGTGGAAGTATGAAGACATGTACTCGTTGACCTAGCTTTGGTGAGTGTGATGCTAATCATGCTGCCATCTTGATTTACCTCAGTGACGCAGGATGACTCTGATGTCGGATATTTGACGGTAGTACTGATAGATTCTCCAGAGATAGGGGAATCATGAACGGCCGATGGATAGAGCGCACCCTCTTCTGGGGGAAGCGGAAGGACAGTCGCACTATCGTATCGCTGGTCGTACATGGTGTGTGCGTGCCCGGACATGGTGTAGGATAGCAATGATGTCTATTGGTATTGATAATATGGAGAAAGTCTATGCGATGAGGAGGGAGGTGGGCACCAAGCAGACGAGGGGAGATCCCTATCCTTTAAGTATCTTCATGAGCGTGGAATAGCGGGCAAGAAAAACCAGCCAGGGCACGGCGAAAATAGAGGGCGTAGGCTAGTAGAATATAAATACCAGAAGCGTGTGACGCAGGGGCACGCCAGGGCACGCAAAGGTGTGCAGGTGGAGAAGTGGCCGTGACGACATAGAGGCCGGCAACTGTGCAAGTGTGCGTGCGATAAACATGGAGAATCAACAACCACGATGGAACACGGAAATTGGACCCTGCAAGCGGAGCCGGGTGAGATCTACGCGAAATGCAAAGCCGACGGCGGAGGAGGGGCGGCGGGAGGAGCCTGGGAAACGACGTGGCCCTGTTCCCAACGTCAAAGCAGCTGCGACGGCCATGGGCCGGAGAGGCCTGCGACTATGTGTGCTGATAAGTGTGCGGGGCACTAGACCTTGTTAAAATGGCGTGGTGTTGATGCGTAAACTACGCTACGCATGCAAGGCGGCCCTCAAGGCAGCATGCCAGGCACGACAGCGTCTTTGGCTCCGGCTAATATGGCATGTTGAAATACGACGTCGACAGCAGTGTCAGGAAGTAGGCGGTAGGCACCGAGCCCATATGCTGGATCCTTCCGACTGTCGTAAACCAAGCGGCTTGACGTGACCAGAAGCAGCAGCGCTATCAAGCCGGGCAGGTCAGGCCGAGGGTGGAGGGCACAGTACTGAAAATTCCAGTTGAAATGAATAATGACTACGGTGTGCACAAGAAAAACAGCAAATGGTGTCACACTGATCCGCAGGCGTTGGACTCGCTTGGGCGTTGGAGCGCATGCAGTCAGAGCCGGCCTGTTGGAGAGATAAGCGAGAGAGAGAGAAGAGTCGAGATTGGAAGAGGGCCAGAGACTTGGTGGGACACAGCATTGGATTGTGACCTCGGGGAGGGTGGGCTGGCGGGGCACTTTGGCCGCCTCCGCGCTGGGAGAGATAGTGGTGGTTGTTTGGCTGAGATAGGTGAGAGAGGGGCGCGGGGCGTGGGCGGTACTACGTGGTACAAGTCGTACTCTATTCAGAATGGTTGCATGTAGCCGGCATGTAGCCGGTGTGTAGCCGATGCACTCAACTGCACATTTACGGGCGGCTACAGCTTACCCCGGTCGTTGCCATGACCTGTTAGGGTGAAGTACCACTTGATTCCGCACATTTCAGCGCAGCCCTCGCTCCAGATGCCCGCCGTCCGAGCTCTTTCGAGTATCGCGTCATAGTTATCCTTGCCCTTGACGCCCACGGTGATGGACACGAGTCCTTCTGGAAGCCCGTCCTGGCCCGAGATGAAGACCAAGCGGGCGTTGGTAAAAGCCACCATGTCGCCACTTCGTGACACGCCAAATATCTCTTCCCACTGTTGCGCCGCACCCTCACGGTCGACGTCACCAGGCTCGAGCCGCAGTACACAGCCCTCTAGTGCCAAGTGGCCCGTCTGTTCCATGCCGCGCGTGTAGCTCTCACTGGCCGGTCCGCAGGCATGCCATGGGGAGAAGCGAGTTCCTAGGGGGTTCGGATTCGCTAGCCCTGGTGTATGCGAGTCAAGTTCAGGCATCAAGCCGCCTAGTAGTAATCCCTCATCAGCCACCACCACCACGCCTGCGCCTCTTCACTGACTGCGCCTGCGCCCGCGCCTGCAGCCGAACTGGCCATGGGACGAACGTACCTTTGATCCCCTTGGGATGGTACTGAATGCACACCGCATCTCTGTACTCGTGCTCGACAATGACGCTAGCCAACTTGTTCGCAGTGATGTACTCGCGCCGCTTCTTTGCATCCTCCGTCTGCATGACAATCATGAACCCGCCATCCCCGCGCTTGTCGAGCAGCCTGCCAACCGTCGTACACTCCTTGACCGGCGAGACAACCTCAACAAAGTCGCCGCCTAGCGGAACTGCAGTCGCGTCAATCACAAGCCTCAGGAAACACGCAGGGGCTACGTGCCGATGAAATTCTTCAATCCCCACTGCTCGACGGAATCATCCTCGAATGCAAAGCCTATGCCCAGGACATATGTCTGAAATCTCCATCAGCTTCCAATTGGTACTTTTGCTGCGGTCGTCGTACAAGCAGCTGCCTGGCGTTGTCGAGATCCTTTGCAGCTAGTGCAATCTGCCGGAGGCGTGTTGGTGCAGGTCCCAGCTTGGCGTGGCTTGCGCCTTTCTCTTCAGCAGACATGATGAGTGGCGCGTTGCTCAGATGGAGTGGTGCAAGTATTGTGAGAGGGTTGTTTGTGTTATTTGTAGACGCGTGTGTATTTGGTCTCCTCGGCCCAGCATCGCTTTTCCCCGCATCGATTCCGGCGCGTCCTTGTCGCTTTACAGCCTGCACCCTTGCATAGTGCCATCTGTTAGTGAATAAGAATCAAGCTATTCTCTAGTAAGCGGACTCGCCGCCGCTTCGGGTAGTATAAGAATAAAATGTCATGGCGGACGTTGTACTGCGAAGCAGCTCACACAGGTGACTGTTGTTGGGAGCTCGGGCCGATAGCAAACCACTCGATAGCTTCCTTCCCTCTCATCTTCTATCACCCGATACCCAACACCAGCTTCCAGCTATTATTGCGCCAGCATCACAGAAAGAGCTATAACAATATACTTGTATCTGTATCTAAGCACTCTCCGCAGTGACGCTATTACTTTCACATTCCAGTGCATATACAACCACAGGTAATTAGGAAAAAAGCCAGGCCACGCAGCGACGTTATATTACTGCCACGTCGAAGACCTCGATGAAATTTTATATCCATGTCCTCTCGTATACGGAACCGGCCGATTGATGCTGAATACACCAACCTCAGGATCATCAAGTGTTTACGACTCTCTCCCTTATATATAACACCCCTCCTGCGATATGCAATCACAACACCATGCCAGACTCTCCTCACGACTACCCACTAATCAATTCATTTGCACAGGTATGTGCGTCTGAGTGGGCGGCCGAGTATGTACATTGAGTTCACTCACTCAAGCACCAACAGCGCGCCATTCTGCCTAGACACGAAAACAAGTACACCATTTTACTCATGTAAACGCACCTCAACGTTCGAAACACTTCAAAAATCGCGATCATTACTATCATGCTTTTCAGCAAGCAAAGCGCAATCACATGTGTCAAACCATCGCCAGGCTCCCACCACATTCGTTCCCACACCCGTATTCTGGACCAACAGACACTCAAGAACGTGTCATAAACCCCTTCCACTATGCACCAAGAGCAAATCTACGCGTGCAAAGTAAAGGACGTGCTACACGCGTTGTCGCGTTTTGGTGTCAATCTGCCCCGCGTCGTTGTCTTTGTTCAGCTCAGCTTCACTATGAGAGAAGCTCGGATCTTGTGGCGTCTGACGTACCTGGCAATATACAAAAGTGCTCGTCACCTCGAATTTGCTGCGCTTGGACTACAATCACAAACGCTCATTCGACTTCACTTGCCTAGTCTTAGTCTTTTTCTTGATTTTATATAGAGAGGGGAAGCTGCTGTCTTTCTTTGACCATCACCTCGTTGTTCAATCTGCTGTTTGAAAGCGTACAAGTCTTGTCAGTTTTCTGATTTATACATCTTCAGGTTAGTACATTTGTGTTTTTCTGGGTGCCTTGGTTTTTTTTGTATTGTCCTGTTCCTCTTCTCCGTACCAATTGGGTGAGTTGGAGTTTATAGCTCTGCAGTGGGTCAAGTCAAGATGGCGAGCGTTATCGACGACCTGCTAGCCCTTGCGGTAGCCACACCACTCCCAGTCATTGAAGAAGGAGAATTCGATACCCCAAACGATACTGCGCCTTATGTTCGCCCGAAAACCCGTTCGCAAACCCGCGCCGCCCGACCATCGTTGAAGATTCGACTCCCTGTGCCTGAGGCACCTGTTGTCAAAAAATCGCAGAGCAAAAAGCGTAAATTTAACTTCACCATCTTCCTTGACGAAGATGCAGAAAACCATACCACGACAACCATCTCCACGCCCAAGAGGTCAAAGACAAGTACACCGCCTATCCCTCTGAGCGACAAAACCTACTCTACAAACTCCACGCCCGCACCATCCCCCCACTCCCCTTCAACTCCCTTCTCCCTCTCCCCCTTCGATCCCTACTGGGAGAACCTCGAAAACTACGCTCCATTCACCATACCCGTGACTCCTCCCGCAACACCTCCTGCCGTCTCCCCTCCACCCTCTCGACCATCCTCAACCCGCACCCTCAACTCTCGCTCTTCCCCCCCTTCTACTCCAACCCGCCTCGCCCCTCCCACCAGCACCCTCCTGTACACGATCCTAGGGCTTGAAGACTGGCGCGCCACCGCCGCCATGATCAAGAAATCCTATCGCCGGATGGCGCGGACTTTGCATCCTGACAAGGCGTCGTCGGAGGAAGAGAGGGGAAGCGCGAATTTAGCGATGCAGCAGCTTAATGCTACGAGGGATGTGCTGTTGGATGCTAGGGCGAGGGAGGAGTATCATGAGACGGGGGTTGTGCCTTGGGTTGTTTGAGAGTCTTGGGGTGGCGGGTCTTGTATATGTGCGAATGTAGGGAAAAGATTGATGCTTGTTTTGACATGGAAAGGCTGGTGCATGTACACGTCTGCGGTGTCGTCTGTCGATAGCTACAACATGTTTCTCGAACTGTGGAAAGGGAAGACGCAGGCAACTAATACTTGGTTTCGCAGAGTCTTGTCTGGTTGGCTCAATGGCATCGCGATATGTGACCACTAGTTAGTAATAATTTGCCGTTTGTTATGTAGCAGACGACGAGCGAGACGATTAGCATGGATATTTGATTCATGGAAGTATTCTTGGATTAACTAGGAATAAATCAGTCCATGCTATTTTCCTGTAGTACTGCGTCTTTGCTCTTCTTCCACGTTACTAGGTCAAATTGCAGCATTCACAAAAAATAAGCAAGAATCAGGCTTTTCCTCAAGATTGAGAGAAGAGAGTAAGGTTTGATATTTTTTACAGAGTGTCTTCGCATGCATGACGTCTTGCAGACTTCCGCTGTAAATTTATGTATGTACTATGCTTCGGCCCGATTTTTTACATGCAGTGTCCTCGTATTTGATCCTTGTTTCTGATCATTTGGTATTTTCCTCCTTTTTTTTTCGTCTTTTCCTTGTTTATATGCATTACTTCTGTATGCCCGTTGAACCCTTGATATATCTTGAATGATTTTCTGGTTTCTAAATTTTTGATTTTTCCCTTTATACTGCGCCATATAAATCTATATTCCGTGTACTTTGGCGTCTTCGAGACAATTAAACAGATTGCCTCGTTCAATATCCCTCTGTCCTGATTCGTACATAGGAATCTGCATTGCTAATGTATCCCCTGAAACTCGGTCCAACACTCCAATTTGCCAGATTCCGGATAACATCCCTTGCTGTGTCGCACAAATCTACTCGGCCCGTCTCTTCATTTTTGTGTAGCGCCTCTGTGGTGGTAAAGGACCAATCGCACTGAATGTTGAGGCTCATATCCATGAGCCATTCCATGCGTTCCTGCATTGCGGGAATTTGAACAGCAAGTTCGCGAAAGGCGGGCCAGACAACAAAATCGACGATATTGATGTGCGGCATAAAAAGCTGATTCGGGGTCGGACGGAGCCATTCGGGCATTGCATTGTACGTCTCGGGGGAAGGTGAAATCATCCAGCGCATCAATGACCAAAAGAGGTACATAAATCCGAAGCATGTAAATGTGTTGCCTAGTCTAATTAGTAAAAAAAATCGAAAGCTGCAAACGGGTGTGAATAGTTACCTTTCAAAAACATACCGTGCACCATACCAACCGCCCATTTGGAAAGAATGCCCGAGTTGTTGTATACTTCTTCGTCAAACAGAGCAGCAATATTCGGGTGCTTCTCAATAATCTCTTCGGGCGGATGTCCGTTGTTTATCAAGTTTGTTGCCTCGTGTAATACACTCAGTACAGTGCGCCTGAGAGAACCAGGATCGGGGACTGTATTGATTGGGAGCATAGCCCATGTTGGCAGGAAAAGATTGCGAGTATGCGTATCCGGAGGTTTGGAGTACTGGCTCGACTCGGCGCTAGTAAGAAAAGGTGTGTTGTCGAAAAAGCTGCGAATATCGAGATTGGGGTGGATGCGGATAGTGTTTACAATCGGCTGTCGTCCAGCAAGGTGAGTGGAATAAATGGAGCGAACCCTGTTGTGTCTGTGTGGCGACCGTCTTTGGCTTTGGGAAGACATTTTTGATGAGGACGAGGGAATGGGACGGAGGTCAAAAGTTGAAGCCTGCTGAGTGAGCCGTGGGTCAATGTTTCTCTCCTCGAATTCATCGTCGCCAGCGTCATCACTTTCGCCCTCGTCTTCGGCTTTGGGTAACAGAAAGTCGTCTCGATCGAACAGAGGGCACAAAAAGGACTGCTCTTCGCTGATGCTTGACTGCTTTCCTCTACCTGGGGGCGCAAATGCAGAATGCGGAAGATTTGCAGAAGGTGACCAAGCGGTAGTTTGACCTGGAGGCGATGCCAAAGATGCGCTGGAGCCTTGACGAAACGTGGGAGTAGGTTTGCTTGGATCGAAAACGGAGTCATGGCTCATTGCACTTCCAGAGGTATCGGTGGACTCCTGGCCCAGTAAGCTGAACTCCGGTTACCATTGCGCTTTTGCAGCTATAGAGGAAGCTGTAATGTAGTGATGCGTACCTGGGGGGTTGGGTGGATGCTGCTGGAGAGGGTACCAAGGAGAGAGACTTTGCCACATCTTCGGGAGTGTCACCAAGTCGTAGTCTTGCTAGAATGGCCGCGGCTTGGTCGTCTGTACCTGAGCGGAGGAAGTTGACGATGCGTTTGAGATCTTCAAGCTCGCCGGTCATACTGTCCCTCTTCATGATCTTCATGCGCTCAGCTCTGGAGACGCCCTCGGCGACATCGTATTGGCATACAAGATCGTTGTCCTTGCAGCGGTTACATCGTGGCCTCGTGCCGTCGCACTGCGGATTACTGAATTAGCAGCCTTCGGGAGAGGGTCAAAGGCAGCAGTCGGCCACCTACAGGTAGTATCACAGCCAGTGATTACCCATAGAAGAGTAGTTGAAAGAACTACAGTGGTGCATGTGGCTGACAGGAGGGCCTTTGGTACTTTGCATTGCTGGCAGGCATCAGCTGCCGCTGAAAGTCAAGGCAAAGTACCTGGGGTCACCGAAGACTCATGACACTGGTTGGGTGTAACACGGTCCTACGTACCTTGGCCTTCCCGTTGCGGCAGTGCACACAAGCCACAGCAACGGCCTGCCTCCGCTTCCGACGGTCTGGCGGGGCGCGCCGCTGTCCGGGCTCGTCTGAGGCAGGAGCAATAGTCTGCCATCGGTCTGAGAGGTCCATGGTGTGGGCGATGTGGTTGTGGTTGAAGTTGGTGGCTGCAAAGACTCCAAGGTTGATGGTGGTGGTAGTGGTGGAGCCTGTGGAGTTCTCGGCGATGAGCGACAAGCTCGCGCCAATGGAAGTGCTGATGGCAACGCCGCAGGCTTTCTGAAGTCAACGGGGCGGCTCTGGTTGTTTGTAGCATCGGAGTCGTTGTCGCCACGTTTCGAGGGCAAGGAGAGCGCACATACACACCCACAATCATCAGGCTGGCCGCAAAATCCGCCTCTTGTGTTCTTTTGCAAATAGGACTCGCGACTTGAAGCGATTCCTCGGTTCAAATCGCCGACGAAAAACATGTTGCGGAGAGGGTTTCCTAGCCAATGAGGGGACGAGTGATCAGCTCACGTGCTGTCAGGGCGCATTTGGATACCCAAAGCGTGGACGCCTTGGAACAACAGGCGTGGGGCACCTGTCAAGATGCAAAAAGAGCCACGACGTCTCCTCTGCTCTGCTCTACTTTTACGCCTCAGTACGAGGGCTAGCTTCGGCGGCACACATGTGGCCATGGCCGCGCGGATGGAGAGGCACCATGGCGACGGGTTCCAGGCTTCAGGGCTTGCCATGGCTTGGGGCGACCAACAGGGCCGACATGGGGCATCGAGTGCATCGCGGAAGCCGCTGGCGTGCCAGGAGAAGCTGGGTCGTTGGGCCGCCATGGCCCGCCATGGCCGTGTGGTGACGAGTCGATGTGCGACATGTGGCGGTGCGCGAGGCTGAGGCTGAGGCTGAGGCTGAGGCTGGCGGCGCTACACTACTTATGTACTTGTAGGTACATAGCCAAATGGCTAGGGTTTGCGGCGGCTAGGCGGCCAAATTGGCTCCAGCCCGTGGCGTGACGTCGTGCCGCCATCATTGCAAAAGACGACGGGCGTGCTAGCCTCGAGCGAGAGAGAGTGTTGATTGGCGGCTGCGCTGGCTTGTCAGTACTCGAGGAGCGGATTAGGCATTGTGCCTACATGTGTGTACGTATAAGCTGCCATGCCGTTGTTGCTCGACGTGACTTGGCCCAGGAAATACGAAGAAGAGGAGAAGAAGCACAGCAGAGAAAAGTCAAACACCGCAAGCACAGCTGCATGGCCGACGTGGTTCAAATACTACCAGACAGCCACAGTTGACGTCATCTGCTGCAGCCGGCGGGTTGTGGCAATGGCGCGCCACACTACCGCCACTCACCTCCAGCACACCATCTATGGCCGTGGCAGCCCGGCGGGTGGGTGGCTGTAGACATGGCTTTTTCTGCATGTGCAGCCCGTTACTCTCTAGCTCCGGGTCGTCCCAGTGCCCAGGCTGTAGGTAAGCACGCCGGCATCCTGATGCATCTGGTTGAAACCCGCCTGTTCATGCTCACGTCGGCGCCATGTAGCCGCTGCAGTATGGTAGTGGCAGTAGAGCATTCTAGGCGCGTCACGTGCCTTCTGTTCTTGCTCCGCATCTCCTCGACCCACTCCGGCTTACTTGCCAAGCTCTTCAAGCACTCGCTGCACCCCTCCAACACTTCCGCTGACAGCTTCTGCTGATGCCTGGTTTACCATCCCGCTCTGTCCAGCACACCGATATGGCACAGCGCCCAAAGAGAAAGAGAAAGAAAAAAAGAAAGCAAGAGTGAAACATACAGTGTCATGGTATTTTCGAAACCCCATAAGAAACATCTCAATTCTCCTATGTGCAGTATCGTGTAATATGGCATTTGTAGACCCCAATCCTAAAACTCCCCTTTAATGCCCATTCTGAGCAAAACAAATCCTGTGCGCCACACCTCAACATATGTATACAGGCCATGCAAGAGCATTCTAGACCGGCTGGTATCCAACTCCAGAACAAATCCCCCGCTTCATATGGAAACAAAAAATCAAAAATCTTTCGTCTGCACCTGCTGCGATGCGCGGCGAGCAGGCATCATCTCAGCGTCCGAGTCGTCATAAATGCTCTTGCCCCGAACCGACTTGCTCTTGTCGCCCGCTTTTGCAAGAGCAGGGAAGCAGTATCCGGGATGGAAGATGGTCAGCACCACCACTGCAGTGACAATCATAGCTCCCTCCAATACGATGAAATCCACCTCGTCGCGCATCAGCTCGCTCCTCCACCCAAAAGCAAGTTCGGGGATACGGTAGACACATCGAGCAAAAATGGTGATAAAGGCCACCGCAATGGCAAAGAGAAAGCAGCGGAACGACTTCTGCTGTAGCAGAGTCCGGGCTTCGTCTGACAGCTCCTCGCGGCGCTGGTATGTGCGGATGGCGTATTCAACAAGCAGGAGGCCAAAGACGGTTAGTGTGAAGACTTGCCAGACCACACCTGCAATCATAATGTTTGTGCCATTATCTTGTGCCTCGCTGCCAAAGTCGGCAGTCGCAGCGATGCCACCACCCGCGCCCTGCAGCACCAGTGACAGGAAATCTCCCGTAATGAAAATGTATGTATACCACGCAGGTCGGATGCGCGACCACGACTCGCCAAAGCTCAGGACGATGTGCTTCAGTGTTAGATAGATGGCGGCGGAGATGAAGGCGGGCGAGATGATGAGGCAGCAGATTTGCATCTGGAAACCCGTGTTGTCGAATGGGTTATTCCACATTATGATTCGGCCTGCGTATCCCACTGCCTCACCTAGACAACCCAGACTCATGGCAGCCTGCAGTTTGACACTGTTAGCCATGTTCATATGTGTCAGTGAATGAGAGCAAGACACTTACCATATAGGTCCATGTCTTGTATCGGAGTCCCAGTCCAAGGTTGATGATAGCACAAAGGGCAAAGAACCCCGCATATGCGGCGTTGACACCGATGTCGGGGTAGTATCCTAGAATGGTGCCCTCCACTGGGCAATCTGGGCCGACCTGTGTGCACGTATCGGGTGCTGGAAGCGGAACTACCATGATGAAGCTTGATGTGTTTGGTATGGAAGAGAAGTTGTCTGTGGTGTTTGAAAGGAGACAAGGCGGCTTGATTATGGGTTGGTGGTTTGGTTGCAGTGGTGGATGACTACTTGAGGAGCGGAACGTTTGAATCTCTTATATCCCATCCTATTGTTTGTCCACGGTCAAATACATGGATGAACACTTCAACAAAGTCAAGTCTTCGGCCTAACTTTAGCCCTGCTCAGAGGCAGTGCAAGAGGTACGAATCCACTCGCGCGGACAAGGACATCAATCTCCGAGCGCTAACACATGTAAATGGTAGTATGGTGTTTGAAACCATTCGCAACTCCGACCGAAAAGGGTTTAACGGAACTTTCGGCCGCCAAGCTCTCCGATCTCGCGACGTATTTGAGATAAGCACAAGATGTACACGTAGTAGATCGTGGGCGAAGCACTTCCTAGTATGACAAGCAATGTACCGAGCAAGACTTGAACGGTGATTTTGTGTAGTTTGTAGCGTAGGTGTAAGTATAGTAGGTAAAGCGAAGGCGGGGACCATGTAATTACATACACCATGTACTATCCCCAAACCTCGATAGTCGGAGTAGTAAACAAGCAACACTGGCGCGGAGGACAAGCAATAGACGCACAGCATAATTGTTGACCTAGACATCTATGGCAACCTCGCGCTACCAAAAATAATCAGTTGTCCACTATTTTTGAGACACAGGTCATAAGGTGCCAATACGTAGCGTGTAGACTGTTGCTCGTAACTTGAAGACCCCACAGTCAATTCCTGGAGCTTTCCCATGCTTGATAGAACACAGTCCATTTGGCTAGCTTCTGCGCTGTCACCTGATGGCAGATCACATTATGGGTTTACTTGTTATCGCTGCTACTTACACCAAGTACTACACACTTCCCATGCGTCTACCGTGCGCTTGCGTCATACACATGAGGCCACAACTGTTGAGACTGAGTCACTCTATCCATAGCCAGGGCACCCTCGCGCTCCCGTTGATATTCATCGACGCGGAGAGAGCAGTGTCCAATGTGTTGAGGCGCAGACCGCCACAGCAATCGTGGTGTTGCGCAAGCTCGGTGCTTCGGCTTTCTCCCTCGTCCGCCCCACTCCCCGCTGCATCCGAGAGTCCGTATCAACAATCTTTTACCCAGTCTCACGCTCACTCGGAAATCATGGGCTTGTCTCCTGAATTCATCACCCAGTCTCCTTGGGTAGAATACGAACAGCCAACCAGGTTGTTTATTTTTGCACCGTGGAGTTCACAGCTTACGGACAGGTTCACCTATCGTCTGGCCGTTGGTTGAGGAGATCAGCGTAGTACCGAACGAGCCCCAGCACCGTTCAATTGCCGTTGCTACGCTAAGCGCCGTGGCCTCTGTTGATCGACCGGCCCGCACGTCTCCCTCTAATGATGCCGTATTTTCTGCTTGAATGCTGGCTTGACTACCACAGCGCGGATCGATCGGATCTGTCAAGTCCGCTCGAGTTACAAACAGAAACTCCGCGGTGGAAATCAAGACACCATACAAGTAGGTCACACGTTCACTCAGAGATATCGGCATGATATTCGCATGCACAGGACTGCCGGGAAATACTTGCCAACAGCTCCGTCCGACCAGCCACGTCTGATGCAGGGATCAGTTGTGAACCTGCACCAACGGATTCTGGATGCATACGCTTGTAAGGAATGGCCTGCCATCCATGCCACCAAGCTCAAGAATAAGCAATACAAGGCACAGCCAAGTACGCATCGGAAACGTCGCCACGTGCAGCTCTCGCGTAGCACCTACCGAGATGCATCAGATCATCCGTCTCTGCACATCTGCTAACTTCGTTCAATTGGCTCACGAGAAACGGCACAGTGTCTTGGTCTTCATAGGCTGTCCATACAGAACAAGCTTGACGACACCGGCTCTCCCATCCATGTCCGAAGTTTACTGGTGATAGTAAGCGAGTTGGTACCGAGATCTACATTACGCTCGACCCGTCTGTACGAGCCGCACTAACCTGTTCCTAGCCTAGGCGCGCTAACACAACACAGCATTCTCCTGATGCATGCTGCGACTACTCTTTTTGTTTTGCAGACATGATGCACGACCGTGCCGCACTGGAAAGGGGGCTCTCTGCAATCGACGGCCCAGATAGTCCGCTACATCCTTCAAATCTAGCTGTACCTCATGTAACAGCATCAACGCTCTGGACTAGAATTCAGTTGTCTTCGATATCTCCATCATAGTCGGGATTAGTATCAGGTCGTCTCTAGACCCACAGGGTAACTAAGTATATCTCAGCCAATGTCTTCTAGCGATCCGATCCGATCTCACCACGCGATCTGATCATTGCGGGCACACACAGACGGCCCTCTCAGGCACGGCTACCCGCTTTGTCTAGTAGATCTCCGCCCCCCCGTCCAGGGGTACGTGGTTTAGAAGTATTGGTTGTGCGTAAACAACACTCTTCCCGGCGGTCTCAGGTTCAAGGGCAAAGACGTGAGTTGTTTCTTGCGGGAGCCCCGCGTCGGTACTTATATTGCCTCCTGACAGCCCTGCTCTGGAATGTTCTCTTGCGTCGTGCTATTGCCATCTTCCCCAAAATACCATGCATATTCCTCGGGCTGCATACTTCTTAGTGTGCGCCACCGTTGCGTATGCTAAGACTGTTAGCTACGACTTTACCGTCGGCTATGTGACGGTAAGTAACTCTTTGGTTCCTCCCAGGATTAGCGAGATTGCATCATCGTCTCCCTCCTTGGCCTACACAGCTTTGCGTATACTGATAGCCTACAGGCCGCTCCTGATGGCTTCTCCCGACAAGTCATAGGGATTAATGGCCAATGGCCCATTCCCACTATTGAGTGTGATGTAGGCGACACCTTGATTATCACTGTGCACAATGGACTTCCGGATCAAACTACATCCCTCCATTTCCACGGCATATGGCAGACTGGCACACAACTCTCCGACGGACCTAGTGGCATTACACAATGCCCTATCCGTCCTGGACAATCTTATACCTACACGTTCGTCGCAAACCCTGCTGGCACCCACTGGTACCATGCGCATGAAAAGGGCCAATACCCAGATGGTCTCCGAGGCAAAATGATTGTGCACGACAGGGATTGGGAAAAGACCTTGGGAATCGATAAGCAGATCTTCTTGTCAATGTCTGATTGGTGAGTGCCTCGAGATCTGTAAAAATAACATGGCTTACAGATGGCAGGTTTCATCGCTCCATGCCCGAGTTGATTGATGAATACATGAGTCCGGACAATACCGACGCCAGATTTGACTCGCCCAACGCTTTCCTCTTCAATGACTCTAACAAGCCTTTTGACCTCAAACTGGTCAAGGGCAAAAAATATCTGCTCCGCATCGTCAACACTGCGGCAGTTGCGTGTGGCCAATTCTACATGGATAACTACCCGCTTTCTGTCGTCGAGGTTGACGGTGTCCAGGTACAGCCCCAGGAAACTGACAGAATTTTGATTTGTGCTGGCCAGAGTTATGGTGTAGTGGTCAAGGGCCAAGATGACCCAAAAGGCGCGTCCAATTGGCACGCGTCAATGGACACAGACATGCTCCCTGGCGCTGCTCCCCCACAGGACGACATATCCGTGATTGGAAGAATCGTCTGTGACGTGATGCAAGAGGTTGAAGCGATTGAAAGGGAATTGCCCAACTTTGCTCGCGCTGAACCCCGTGTACTCGATGATTTCTACATGAAGCCGCTGGATGGCCAGAAGCTCCTGGGACCCGTGAATAACCGCATCGAATTCACAACCAATCAGACTTACTTTCCTGGAATTGGAACGCGTACGCCCCTCAATGCTGACCCTTGGGTTGCCCCAAAGGTCCCTACGCTCTATACCGCCTTGACAACTGGCAGCATGGACCCCGCGACATATGGCCCTGGTGTTAACCCCTGGATCATTCAATCCGGAGAAATCGTTCAGATCCACATGAACAACCCTCACGTACGACCACATCCCATGCACCTCCACGGCCACGTCTTCCAAGTCGTAGCCAAAGGCGCCGGTGTGTGGGATGGCCAAGAAGGCGGCTTCCCCGAAGTGCCCTCGAAGCGCGACGGACTCGTCGTCCCAGCAAACGGATACGCCGTCATTCGCTTCAAAGCCGACAACCCCGGTGTGTGGTTTTTCCACTGCCATGTCGATTTCCACGCCGTCGGCGGCATGGCCGCTACCATTATCGAGTCACCGAATCTGCTCCAAGGCTCTGTCCCTGAGGCTGGCAAGGCGCTCTGCAACGCAGGTGGCATGCCATCGAGCGGCAACTGTGCAGGCGAGTCCTTTAGAATCACGGCGTCAGAGGCACGCAAGAAGTGTAACACCGTGTTCAACACAAATGTTCGGGGCGCGAAGCTCGGGTAGCAGTGGGCATCTGGTTATGCCCCAACGCTTTTTTTTTTGCCAATTTTTGTCCATAGAAAATCTGTATTTTTGATCCTTTATTTTATTCCCTTTCTCATTATCGCTTCTAGCTAAGAACGAAACGTTATTCATAATAGACATTTTGACGAGGCAAATCACCCCCTGCCCTTAATTGTTTGTCTTCTTGTCAGAAAACAACAGTATCATGAATGAGAATGCTCCTTCCCACATGCACATGAAGACTCGGGCTTCACCAGCCCCACTCTCCTCTTCCATGCCCAACTCCCCTCGGGCTCCCTCGCCATCTTCCTCGTAGCCAGCACATCGCGATCCGCCCACCCCTTATCCAACAGCGTAAGTTCCAGACTCTTCCGCGCATACCTCACCGTCTCCCACTTTTTGCCGAAACTAGCATACACCTCGGCCGCATGCTGGTACGCCGTCGCAAGCCCCGCATGCAGTCTCTCCTGCTCAAACAAACTCACCAGCAGCTCCGCCAGCGCGGGTGTCGCACTCGACGTGTTGGTCCAGTCATTCAGCACCTTCTGCACCTCTTCAATCTGCAGAATCCGTGCGTCGGACTCCGCAGTGACAAGCGGATGCGCACTACACGCCGAGCACGCACACGTAAATCCCCAGTTCGTCCGCAGCCTTCCCATGCGCCTTACGCGGGTCACTTCATTGTTAATATACGTTATGGTAATCTCCTCGCCTGGGTAGATGGGCCGGATGGCATGCACATAATGCGTCATGGTGTCTTCGTCGAAGAAGTACGCGGCGTTTGGGCGGCAGTCGTGGTTCATCATTGCGATTTCTGGGAAGAGACCGGAGAGGGTTTCGCCGGAGAGGGTCAGCTCGAAGTAGTTTGTTGTTAGGCGGTCGTCGATGGGGTCGTCTTCGCCCGGTGCGGAGCGCCCCATTAGGCTCCAGAAGAGGGATTTCGTGTGGGTTGGCAGGGTGTCGACGGCGCGGTAGAGGAGGGCAAGACGTTCGGGCTCAGGGAGCTCGTCGAGGTCGACGTCGGTGATTAGGATGGGGGTTGAGGCGAGGATTTGGTCGCCGCGGTTGAGGGTTTTGTTGGCGACGAGGCCGCGGCCTTTGCCAGGGAATTCGTGTTGGTAGAAAGGAGGGTTTTGGTAGTTGTTGCTGCGTTGGAGGGAGGCGGGGTCTGTGAATGCGTGGTTTTCTAGTATTGAGTAGGCGTTGGTTTTGGTGGTGACGATTGATATGCCTCGTCCGGATGCGAAGGTGGTGTTTGTGAAGACGCAAAAGGGGTTTGCGTCGGCGTCGTTTTCGTCTTTTGGGGTAAAGCATTCGGGCCAAAAGGACCAGGGGAAGTTTTCGGTTTCTGAGGCTAATTTTTGCGCGTCTTCCAGCGAATTTATGAATGGTGCAATCTGTGTTTTGTTTGATTCGAAAGTCGGCGCCGACGTGGCCAAGGTAACCTGCACTGAGGGCAGGCATTCTTCGTTGTGAAGGTTAAAGTTTGCAGGGCAAACATTGTGCAAGAGAGGCTGTTGCGCAACGAATCCGATATGTGCATTAGAGGATGCTAGAGCTCCGCCCAGGGCGCTCAATCCGATGATTGACTTCATTTTTGCAGGTTTCAAAAAAATCTTGAGAAGGAATCAAGGTGGCAAAGAAAATATGGGAAGACGAGACACATCATAAGTAGTGTTGACTTGACTACATCAGAGGGGATCTTTAGCCGAAGCGATTGAAACGCAAAACGATTGCGGACGAGGAGATGAAACCAGATCGTGAGACGGTCCGCCACTTCCCCACACCGCGAACCTAAATGGTGAGGCTCTATCATGCCATCACTGTGACGTTCTGGGTGTGAAGACCATGGGCGGTTTTCTTGTGGTACCGTGGATGTGAAGATCTCTACGCAACGTCAGTCTTGTCAACGCTTTGAATAGCAGCTTTCTTTGGTTAATCATTCAGTTATCACGATTCTCAGAACCATTCTCCCCGAATTTTCATATCCACAGTTGCATATGAGACAAAAGTGGTAGCCATTGATTGAAAAAAGCTGGAGTAAGGAGGGGTTGCGGGGTGGGGCCGTGAGGCTGAAACACATGTGTGATTGCCCCTAGGAAAGACACGCTTTGTTCCGCATCACAGACACGCTCATGTACAGAAAGCAACACACTTTGTTTTCATTCCCAATACTTTTTGTCATTCATCCAGTGTAAGATGAGATGACTAATTGTACTTTGCCGAAAAGATTGCGCACTTGAATGGGCAGCGATAGCGTGTTAGTACTCCATCGCCTCTTCAAACAGACCCCGCAACTGCTCCCTCTCCGCATCCACATTCTGTGTCTCCAGAGTCGGTGCCAACATTAATACTCTTGCCTGGGGAATCGTGCCTTCAACCAACTGGTCCAGATGCTCTGAACTAAAACCAAGTGCCTTCAAACCTCGGGGTTGGTCGCCGAGCTTAATCAAGAACTCTGCCAATGCTTCACTCAATACCTCTCCAGCACTTTCTGCCTTGACGTTTGAAATGTCTACGCCAAAGGCTTCGGCTGCGGCCAAGTGACGCTCTGGGTTCGATGCGGCGGTAAATTTGAATACTGCCGGTGCTGTTACTGCGACACTAACTCCGTGTGGAATGATGGTGTGGTCAACCTCGTAACCGGCGTGTTTGTATCCTGGGTTCTGACCTGAAATAGGATACGACATTCCGTGGCACAGATGAACACCTGCGTTACCGAAACCAACACCTGCAAGAGTTGCAGCTAAGAGCATCTGTGATTGAGCCTCATGGTCTTCCGGGTCTTTGACTGCACGTGGCAGGTACTTGACAGTATCCCTCAGAGCCTTGAGTGAAAATATATCGGAGATGGGGTTTGCGCCTTGATATGCGGGACGGTTGATGGGGTTCGTAGGTCGGGGAGTGCGCTCATAGTATGGTATCGCGGTCCAAGATTCCAGAGAGTGACAGAGGACATCAAGACCCGAAGACGCATGAACAGCCGATGGCATAGTGCGCGTGTTTATCGGGTCTACTATTCCAAGAGTGGGCTTCAGGTTGCGATGTGCGATGCCAGTCTTTGCCCGCTTGGAGACCAGATCGAAGATTGCAGTACCAGTAGTCTCAGAACCAGTTCCTGCAGTTGTAGGGACTGCAATGAGGGGGAACAGTTTCGAAGGAATAGGTAATCCCTTGCCCAGTGGTGCGTTGACAAAGTCCAAGAAGTCTGCTTCGGGAAAGGTAGTGTAAAGATTCATCAACTTGGCAGTGTCGATCACACTACCTCCACCAACAGCCAGGAAAGCATCAGGCCTCCATGGCTTTGCAAAATCAATGGCTTCCCTTATGCTATGGTCCTTTGGCTCCACCCTGACCTTGTCGAAGATCTCATATGTTACGCCCTCCCGCTCAAGTCCCTCAACGACTTGCCTCATTGCATCCAGCTTTCTTACAGTTTGGTCTGTGACCACCATGACACGCTTGCTGCCCATGTTCTTAAAGTCCATACCGACTTCCTTTGTACATCCTGGCCCGAATCGGATGCTAGAGGCCGCCATTTCGAATGCATATTCCTTTTGTTGTGAATGATCTAGTGGTGTAGCGAGATGTCTGCGTGCTTGCTGGACAGTGGACGGCGATTGATGATAATTGGGGTTCGAATGGCAAGGGCATGATGGGGGATGCGTGTATTGTACGGTTCGAAGGAGATTGAGAGCCCTTGCTGCACGCGAAGGAGCAATGCGGATCGCCGGTGATATTGGCATTGTCAGGGACAGGAGTAGTGACGCTGATCGAGTGGGGAAATGCGGGGAGGTGGAGGTGCGGATGGAAGTGCGCACGCGACAATTGCTCAGAACAACAAATGAGACAGCGCAAGGCCTTTGGGGGATTCGCTTTTAATTCCCCTACTATCGGAGGAAAGGAAGTATAGGAATGAAGATGTTGCGTAATGCTATGCTTGCAGTTGCAATGTTGCATCTGCACCTCGGCTGGCTGGCGTTCTAACCATGCTCGATATGGTATTCCGAGATGTGGGGTAATCCGGCTCAATTGACACCGGATATTACTACAATAGCTGCTGTGCCTCATTCCTGCATCACGGACCCTCTACCCGCCTGTATGGCGCCGATGCTACCGCTACAGTGGATACATCGTACCGAATATTCAAGGCCTTGATCCAACATCAGACATCCTGTCGACGAGCTTTGAAGAAGAACCTTGGTTTATGCTCGACTCATACCATCAGTACTACAGGACATGCATCAATGAAGCATCACTCCAGATACCAACAACTATGTGAAGGTTCCATGGCTCTTCTAAGAGGCCGAAAATACACGATATTCGAAGTACAAAGAACTGCTCAGTGCTAATGAAACTGTTGAATGCGCTGGTTACTTACACTGGCAACTAACGCTTCCCGATAAAAATAGAGGACTTAGAGGATTAAATTCCGAACGTGCGCTTACAGCAACCTACTTGCCTTGCGATCATCTTTCAAGACGCTACATCTTCCTTCAACGCCGAGATATGTCTTTCAGTCCCTGAGATTCGATGCCGCATAATAAGGTGGCCGTTGAGATCTTGTCAGCTATGGTAGGGTCCACTAATCTGAAAGGGCGTTTTCCAGTGTTGGGGCATAGGAAATCAAGCAAGCCCCAGATACCAACATCGCGGACACCCTAGAACTGCCTGGGTTCCCTATTGGCCCCCAAGATGCGGCCAGTTGGCGTGTGATCACAGTATTTATCGGTCTGCACTCCTGTACGTTGTGAAAACGCCTGGGCGCCTAAGGCTTGCAACAACCTACCAATCATGGTGTGCTATGGAAACGGATCATCTCCGTTTTCGCACCCTAGAGTGCCCCAGACTGCTGCGCATGCGCAAAGTCGCGAACGAAGCACGTTCACTGTGTCGACGAAGCTCTTCGGACGTTTCGGATGAGTGGTGCGCCATAGCATACTGAGTAGGGATTGTATACTGGGGGCTCTTCTTGCTCAAGTTTACTTTACAACAATACGGCTGGAATACCACAGCCTTCAAATCAACCTGCAACAGGGCTTTCGTTGGCGTATCACCGTCACGAGCGCAAGGTAATAACAGATTCACCATGCGTATAGTGCGGCATGTGCCGGGATGTTGGATGTTGTCGGGAAAGATTGGGATCAGGGCTGCCAACAATGGGTGAACATCAATCCTAGGAGGTTGGACCGATGCGCACTAAAAGACACAAGGCGGCCAGCCGGTCATCAGGCCAGGGCGGTTAATCCTGCCCGTTCACTGGGTAATTCAAGCTACAATCTGAGCTATAGTAATCTGGCGCAGACCTCCGGACGGGAGCAGTTCGCTTGCACCCATACTTCTCGAAACCATTTCTGACTTACCTTCAAAACTCACCCCAGCCATTCACTCCCTGCCTGAGTGCCCACATCTGCAGGTTGCAGCGACGATGCAGTGTGGTCCGTGCCTGTCGTAGTTTCAAGACGACAGCCAATTGCTTTGCTACTGTGCGCCAGGCGCAACGATATGGCTGAATAGGCCTGGCGTTAGCATTCATCTTTATCATGGCGCATTCAACGAGGCACGGCATGTGCAATGGTACTGACCCCACGGAGCGCAGATCCCAACCTTGTGGACAACTCATGCCCTAGCCGTGCTTACGGAAAAGATATGATATGTCTTGCCCCCTTACTGTTAGGCTCATCACGTCTTTCATTTCCTTTTCTTGCCTCCTTTCCTTGTGCAGTATGATACCCCGGGTTTCATTGTGAAGTGTCGCCGAAGTGGTCCCCTTACACTCCTCAGCAATGACCGTTCAGCTACGTATCAGCAGTTCAAAGGAACAACGACCTATCATCTACAGAGGTAATACACGGCGTCTGCTACGTCTCAGCGACGTACCAGACTCACCCAAGTTATCTGGAGCTGTCTGTGAGGCTGTCGAGTCGGATGGGCGAGCGTGCTGGGTCGCGCTCAAAGAGAGCGCGGGCGACATTTGGTGCTATCAACACCATGACGAGTGGAGGCAGTTGAGCATACGTTGGACCAAGATCCATAAAGATGCGGAGAGAATGGTAGTGACAGGATTGGATACTGGGAAACAAAAGATTCTAAAGCTGCGCCAGTCTGTGGATCTCAGGCGAGAAATCCAGGAGCGATTCTACCCCCGCGGTGGTGATATCCAGGACTACATCAAGTGGATCAACAAAATGGAAAATGACGTGAGGCAACTAGCAGACTCATTATTGAGTCAGTCGCATTCTTCATATGTGTAAGAATCTCCGCTAACACATGACAGTGGCGAACCTCAACCGCCGCCCGACTCCAGAGACCCCAGGTATCCATACCCCTTCACCTCATCCAAACAACAAAAATCAGGGAGAGAAGATTATGATTCTACGCTCGCCACTAGATCCCCGGATACCTATCAACTCGCTAGACGGCTTACCTGACGACGGGACTATTCTTGTGCTGAAGCACTTTTATCAAGATCTCTGCGCCGATAGTATTCGTCGGTTGTACGCTATCGTTCCTGATTTAGACGACTCAAACAACTACCCCAACTCACCTGGGACGGATGATGATATTGTACTCGACGCTGGTACGGAGATAATCCGGGCTTGGTTTCGCATCATGGTCTTGAACGACAGCGAAGCTGGGACCCTAGAGCATGCGACAAGGTCCAAGAGCATAAGTGAGTTTCTCATGGGCTGTCAAGCTAGCCAGCTTGAGATGTACTGTGATTTCTTCGAAAAGGCATGGCGTCCACATGCGGTTCAGTATCTTCGTGTGGCGATTTGTGCGCAAACACTGGCTGGGGGTGACATCAAGACAATCCGGCTGCTCGGTGGTACAATACCAAGCACTACTGAGGGTCTGAGAATGACCAAGCCTTGTTGGGACATTCTGTGAGTTCTGTACAAATTTAAGCGGATCTTGCTGACCTATCTGAAGCTACCAGTGGTTCCCTACGTTGCTCACTCCATGGACCATCGCTAGCATATGCTCCAACTTCGAAGATTACACCACCATATGCAAACTCCTTATGTTGAAGTTGTATAATGACTATTGGTATGACTCAAATAGCATACTGGGTGAATGCGCCACTGGTGTGTATATGGACTTCATACCTATGAACAAGGGAGACTTCACATCAAGCACTGGGCTGAAGCAAGAAGACAACGTCTGGGTTCAACGTCAATCACGCAACTATCTGTGTGGGCAAATGGCGATAGGTCATCCTATGACTAAGGCATTCCTGGATGAACTTCGCAAGCGGACTGCCTCTTTATATCTTGTTGTATACGAGGGCACACATGCCGACGCAACTGTTCACCCGACTGAGCCGGACCTGTTCATCAGCCGACACCGCACAGCCGCCAACTTGGATGAGCTGGACACAGCCAACTTCACCACAACTCTTACGCTTGAAGAGATCAAGAATGAGCTGCGCATGCGGAAGAATTCCATGTACGACCCTATCGTGGTCGACTCTTGGCAGTTCATTATCATTGATCGGGAGGTTGGATTACCGTTTCGACTAATAGACATCGTGCAGGACACGCTGTTCATGCTCGTCGGGGACCCTTCACCTCGGCAGATGGCCAAGCGCGTCATCCGTGAGGTGATCCCGCCCTCGGTCCAGGAAATATATCTCGAAAAGATGCAGATAGAGTGCTCTTCTGAGTTGCGCTATCCGCCACCTGGTGAAATCCAGCATGAAGGAAATAGATGGCGAACATTTGACCCGGATGCGAACATAATCGCTGCAAAGCAAAAGAAAACAACGCTACAAAACATCTCGCGCGATAACAATCGCTTCATCCGGCGCTTCGTAGAAGACCTAGAGCGCTACGGCATCGTTAGTCTCGTTCCCGAGTACGAAGAACCGCAAACTAGACCCGTCATCGTACAAGGCACAGACGGCGCACCAGACCTGTACTTCCCATACCTGGAAGACGCCACAAAAACTGAAGGCGAGCGCGCACCAACACTCCATCTCCCACCACGAACATGCCTGTCAGACTTTGCGCAAGCATACCGAAAAAAGCACCCAAATGCTATCATGGCAAAAGGCTCCATCCAAACACACTACTGCGCCTGGCCCATGCCCGCCATCAAAAGTCTAAGTAAAACGGGACTCAACTTCGCTACATGGGAAGGCCATGTCTATCGCTGGAACGCCATGCGTAAGTCTCTCTTTCTTCCTGCTCAAAATCCACATCCACTCACACTTCTATAGCATTCGACCGCCCTTCCTCCGCAAACGCCTGGCAATACTATATCCAGCACTTTCTCAACTCCAAGTATCCCTTTGTCATGTTCTACCTCACCACTTTTGTCATTTGCGCTACGGACCAGGATGACGCTGAGCGGAAGATGGCTATGCTACTGGATGAGATGGAAGATAGGGGGTGGCGGGTTACGCTGCCGAGACCGCATGAGTGGACGGGGGATGTGGAGGGGCTTAGGTTGGATACTTTGTATAATGGGATTAAGCCGGCGTAGGGGTAAGATGGATAAGCGTAGAATCCGGGTTTTGTCTGGATATCTTAGGTTTGTTTGAAGAGCGGAAATATGTGTTCTATGTTACGATGCGATTCAAGTCGATGTTTTTGCAACATGTACAATTGGCGGGCATTTTAGGATTTTCAGGCTTAGAGGATTTAGCGATGTTGCATAGTACCCCCTTTTCTATTGTACTTTTGTATTCAATATGATATCGTTTTCCAGATATTTTCCTCACGATTCCCGTACCAACCACTCCAGCTCCTCCGCCTGCTCTGGAGTAACAATCTTCCTGAACCCTTCCAACGTCAAGAAATCATGATCCGAGTACTCGAATCCCGGGATGACAGTCTACGCATCTCCAGCATTAGCATTCTGTTCTCCCCCCAAAAAAACAACAGCACCAAGTATAGGTTTGAAAAAAAAGGACGAACTCACCTCACTAATCAACAACCTCTCCCCCTCCGCCCCCTCCAACAAAAAACTAGCCTTATACTTCCCCCCCTCAACAACCCACACACTCTTTTCTCCCGCCGCAAAATCCATTCCTACGACAAAACTCTCCACACGCTTCGGCGTCCCCGGTTCATCGGCGTGGATAAGGACGTAGCGGCCGCGTCCAGAAATCAACGTATGAATCTAATATCACCACTCAGCCGAGAAAGTCCATTGTGCACTACTAGAGTTTTTTTTTAATTTCCGTCTGTGGATTTTCGCAAAGTGGGCGGGGGCGCGCGGACGGGTGGATGTTAAAAAAAATGAAGGGCGATGTAAAAGAAAAAAAATGAAGAAAAAAAGGAGGGGAAACCAACGTACAGTTCTCCCCTTATTCCTATGAAAATTCCCTTGCGGCTCCCCCCTCGAAAGCATGTAGTAAATACTTGTACTCGCATTTCTCACCGCATCATCGCCTGATAGTGGTTTCTGCGCTGTCCTTTTTACCTCTTCTTCTCCGTTGTCGGACTGCAGAAACGGGTTGGGGATGAGCAGAGGGTTTCGATCTAGTTCGGCAAAGTATCCACCTTCGATGTGTTTTTGGAGGTTGAGGGATGAGATGAGGGATTGTGTTGCGGGGGATTCTTCTGGGGTTGCTGAGGAGGAGGAGGGGTAGATGGGGGTTAGTTTGGTTGAGAGGCCGTGGATGCTGGACATTTTGTCCTCTCTTTTTTTTTCCAATGCGTTTTTTTGGTTTTGAGGAGTTAGGCAGCAGTTGTGTCTAGAAGAGGGGGGTATAGATGATTAGGCAGCTGGGTAAGCACAACATGTTTACGTGATACATTGTTGATAAGAGAGAGGAAATGACGTCAGAATGGTACTTTGGATTTTACTTTAATCTGGAACCTAAACAGAAAAATCTGTTTTGAATTTCTCTCCAAAAGGAAGAAAGGAAGAAAAAAACAGATTAGCATGCCTCCCTCCCATATCACGGGTTCCCAAGTGCTTTATTCTGAACTTTTGCAACCAAAATCGATGCTACACTTTCTTGTGTGTCTCTCGAGAAACGCGTGCTTTCATCTGATTTCCTGAGCTTACCTACCCTATTTCTTTCTTTGTTTGCCCATCTATTTCAAATCGACATTATTTCGCTGCAATATTCCAACGCCAAAGTGTTACCCAATCCCCATCCATCCACCCTTACATTCACCCATAGAAAGAATTACACAATAAAGCAAAGACGCACCAGAATACTTTACACAGAAGCTGAAATAAATGTAGAAAAAGAAAACCAGATGTAATTCCAGGGGAGACTAAATGACCATTATCGTCCATCCTGTATCCCTACTACTCCCGAGTGAGTGGCTACCACATGTCATCATCAGCCGTCTTTGCTCCCTGGCCAGACTCGGCATGATGGCTGTAGCTACCGTTATTTGGCTGGCCCAGGTAGTTCTGGGCATTGGCGACACTGTATCCACCACTGCCACCACCACCACTGCCACCGCCATTTGCGCTGTAGTTGGAATGATGCGAGTCGCGTGGGTTTTGGTTATGTGAGGCACCTTGAGAGGCGCTTTTCTGATGGTTCCCATTTTGCTGGGGTTGTTGTGAGAAGCCATTTTCTTGTTGCTGGTATACGCTAGGCCACTCCTGAGTCTTTTCTTGCTGCTCGTACTGTTGTTGCTGCTGCTGCTGCTGTTGCTGAATTTCCGTTAGCTAAGCTCTGCAAACATCCAGAAGACGTTCTTACCTGCTGGTACCGCTGGTATTGAGCAAACTCCTCTGGCTGTGCTTGCTGTTGCTGCTGAGGCGCTTGTTGTGGTTGCTGAGCGACTTGCTGCTGCTGCATCTGCAGCTGTTGCTGTTGTTGCTGTAGTTGTTGCTCCTTCTTTTGCTGCGCCGCTTGCTGAGCCTGCTGGGCTTGTTGAGCCTGCTTCGCCTGCTTCGAGTTGCCAATGGAGATTTGCGGATGCATTTGCTGCACCTTTGCAAGATACGAGTACATAAAGTTACTTAGCAGAACCTGCGAGTAGAGTTCACGACGGGGATTCGCGAGCTTGATATGAGCCATGCGGTAGATGGCGCGTTCCTCGAGAATCGAAAACCTAGTCCAGTTGTAGTCGATGTCGGGCTTCAAGATGCGTACCGGGGGGTCTGGTGACAATCCGCGGGAGACATTCTTCTTATGAGACGACTCCTTCTCGCCCTTCTTCTTTCCACCTCCGAAGATGCTTGACAACAAACCATGTTCCTTCTCCTTCTTGCCGTCGCCGGCAGTTTTCTTGGCACACTCCTTTTTGCGCTCCTCTTCCAGTTTAACGCTTTCACGATCCAGTACTACGCTTTCGCGTCCACGACCACCGCCCTGGATTGATGTCTGCAACAGATCGAGTCTGGTGTCATCATGTCCTTTTTCTTGGGGCTTACTAAGCTTGTTCTTGGTCTTTTTGGCAGTGTCTTTGTCCTTGTCCTTTTCATTCTTGTCCTTTTCCTTTTCCTTGTCACCACCAAACCATCCCCAGCTTGTTTTCCTGGGACCTTCAGAGCTATCCTTCTTGTCCTTTGACTTCTTTTCCAACTTCCTGTCATCAGGAGCGTTGGGAATGATTGACAAGGAATCCACCCGATTGCTGGTGCCAGGCATTGGCGATCCATGGCCTACTAGGTCGTCCATTGATTGGGAGGGCTTGATAGGAGAGGCCTGTGCAGCCTGCGCATGGCGATTCTGTCGGCCTGCAGGGGGCTGGCGTTGTTGGTTCAAAGGCGGCTGCTGAGGCTGTGGATAGCTACGAGGACCAGCTGGTTGTTGTTGAGACGGAGGCGGAAGTTGACGTGAAGAGGAGCGTTCGGGTAGTTGCAGCTGTCTTTGGTCTTGCTGAGGGGATGTCTCGATGATTTGGGGCACCTGTTGCTGAGGAGGAACATATCCTGGCAGAGGTGCTGTAGTCCGGCCATTGGAAGCAATTCTCGAATGGAAGCGTCTTGGCTGAGGAGATGATTTCTGCTCAGGAGAAGCTGAACTAGGAGCTTCTTCTGCCGAGCCCGGTCTTTCGATGTTGGAAGTCGTGCGATTCGGCGGCGGAGGCCTTGAAAAGTTGCTGGACGACCCTTCAAACGCTGAGTTAACAGGTTCAGAATGGGTACGGGAGAGAGGGAGGGGAGGGACTTCGGGTATGCTTTCTGTAGACTGTATAGGCGAAGTAGAGGGAGAGTCTTCGGTATCCGTCTCTGCCTGCCGGCCGCTAACCAGTCGCCGCGAAAGGGCCGGGCCTCCCTTACGTATACTACCTCGTCTATAGGTGGTGCGTGTGGATCGCTTCAGCGTTCCCAAGCCACCCATTTTGCTACCCGGGACAATAGGCAAATCTCCGTCATCGCCCATATCACCTTCACCACCAAAGGTCTTGTGGTCAATACTCATGCGCCTTATGAGTGCCACGGGATCTTCTTGGATATTCTCTAGCTCCTGGAGGTTGTCGAGCCCTCCGTTGGGTCTGGTGGCGCCAGAACGTTTCCTCTCGAGCCTCTCAGCCCCATCCTTGTAGCCTGAGCCAGTGTCGATTTGTCTGGAGAGCATCGACTTCTTCCGCCGCAGCCCAGCTCCCGAACCCTGACGTCCGAGAGCAGCGTCTGGATTTAGCGAGTCCGAATCTCCCGAGCGGCGCCTAGTCTTGTCAATCTTGTCTTCAATGAACGTTTTGAACTCCATGGGTGCGAGTTCGGGGTGCAATCGGGCGGGGACCCAAAACAGCTTCGACTCGTCTTCTTCCGATACGGCGGGGGGCGACGGAGGCGAGTTGGCAGATTGAAATGACGGCAGATCCGGATCAGCACTGTTGACGCCCATGGACATCCTCCGGATAGCCTGCAGGTTACTCAGTTCCTGCGCAAGACCGGCAGGGCTCGACTCGTAATCGAGATCATTGAGGGGAAACTGGTGTGAGGCGGTGCCTGAGTTTGAGCGAGACAGTGGGGGAGACATGTGGTCGCCGTTGGAGGAGTCCCTACCCACCGCAACCTTGTTTTGGGGCGCGTCGGAACCATTGTATGGGCTGGCTGGGGTGGCGGGGTGATCGGAGGACAATTGGGGCCGCAGCGGGGACCTGGCCGGAGGGGCGTTGGGGAAGGGGTCAAAGGCCTCAAAAGCACCAAAAGACTGGATCGAATCGCCGTTGGGGCTGGGCACGAAGCTTAGAGGCCTCAGGCTGCGTCTGTTGGACTCGGTGTCACTGTCTCCGCCGTAGAGGTCACCGATGGCTTCGGTGACGTGATGATTGTCATCGCTGATAGAAATCTGGGGCGCGTGGCCTCGGCGGGGCGGGTTCCGCATTTGGTACAGGCGGTCCAGCTCTTGTGCTCGATCGGTTGCCTGTGGGAGAGCGAAATGTGGTCAGCTTGGGCGTTTGGATGGGCTGTGCGGACTTTTGCCGGGAGTGCAGTAGCAGCAGAAGCAGCAGCACCAATGCCTCATTCTCCGCTTCTGCTCCTGGTATTACCCCTTGCTCGCGTGCAGTGCTGCATCCACGCCTATATCTGGCCTGGCAGGAGAGGCAATGTGCGCGCTGGTCGGGCGGGCAGGGGAGGGAGGAGAGACTCACCATATCGCGAGGGTTGCGGAGGACAAGGATGAGGGAGGGTGAGGGCGGGCTGGGTCAAATGCCGCGGCCTCGTTTGATTAGGGCAGCGCCGGGGCGCCGAGGACCTCCACGGCTAACGAGCGACAGACAGAGGGATGGGCAAAGGCGTCGGGCGTCTGGTAAGGCACAGCGAGAGCGACCATGACCAGCAGGCAAGACAATGCGGTGCGGTCGTGGTCCCAGGTGCACACAGTTGTCAGGCAGGCCCAGGCTAGCGCCGCTTTGCGTTAGGAGCGTCTACCGCAGCGGAGAAGACCCGATGAAGCCAGGCCATGACTCGCCGTGCCTCAAGGGGGACACTCTTCACTCATTGGTTTTCCTGCTCCACTTGCTCTGCCCAAACAGCCGCCGTCCTGGGTTGCATGTCCAGCATTGCCCGTCACCCTGCATGGCGGCGCCTCCTTGGGCGTGTCGCTCGTGGGAGCCAATCCTGTGTGCTGTGTACTCCCCCCATTGGATATGCCAGCTGCGTACAATACGGTACGCTACGCCTACACCTATATGATCGCCCTCGCCAGTCTGCCCATGCACACGCTACACAACATCATCATCATCACCACGCGCCAACCACCTGTCTTGCTGCTTCGTTGGTCGTCTAGGCATATCCCTTCTCTGACAACTTGGAAAATAGTCTTTGATTCCTGGTCTATCAACAGGCTAACAAACCAGACTCCCAGCCACATTCAAGTGCGCCTCGGCAAGTACATGCTTCTGAGTACACTGTACATACGTACATCTCGGCACGCCCCAGCACATGCTAGCATGTATATATATAACTACACATATATTACTTACTTACACGCATCCATGGTCAAGAATTACTATGCCGCTTCCAGACAAAAATGGCAGATGCAACTGCGCATGTAACAGCCCCTAGTGCTAAAGAAAGATTCAAATAGTCGTACTCGTCTTCCTCCTGTTTGGGAAATGCAGTCGACGGGTGTGTCGCGCTCTCAGCTAGCTGCCAAAAAGAATTGTCAGCTTCTCAGCCTTGTGTTACATAACGAGAAAAGGGGCTTACGTGAACAAACAGCTCAGAGATACTATTCCACTTGGCGCTGACATGTAGCGGCGGTGACATTCTCAGCCCACTCGTGTACTCGTCCGGCTGTTGCTCGCACCGCTGCATCGTCTTGTCTTGGTCGGCTTTGAGTGCCGTATACACTGCTGGCAGCTGGTCTAGATGAGGATATTTTTTTCGCAGCTCGACTATGTGCGCAAAGCTGGTCGGGTCGCTTGAATCATACGTGTAACACAACAAGTCGCACGCATCCAGCTTTGCCTGGTTTTCCAAAATGGCCGGTTCCAGCTCACCCAGCTCTTCCAGGATGAGGTAACATTGCTTGCCACCTTTGAGTTCCACGCTGTTAACAGCCGACCGGGGCTTGATCGTGGGATGGTATGTCTGGCTGAATGGCCGTTGGAGAAAAGCAGAAAGGAGTGAGCTCTTTCCGCTTCCACTTGACCCCAGCACATAACACAGAAACACGTTGCGCTCGACTCGCCCGGGCTTCTTTCGCCGCTTCCTGGCTTTGGTCACTTTGAGTGCGCTGGTAGTACCCCCACGCTCGCCGCTCTCAAAACCAAGATATGCAAGGTATGCCAACGTCGTCTTGGGCTCCTCAAATGTGGTCATGCTCCACTGGGCCAGCCATCCTTGCAATGTAATGTAACCTGCCTCGTTTCGCACAGTGCACGACGGGAACGCAGAATCAACCCACGATGTCGGCATGCCCGGTGTGGGCGCAAACAGATTTGCAAGCTCGCGGTCATTCAGCCCGCCATCATTGTCCATGTCGAACTTGAGAAACAGATCAACAAAGAAGCGATATCCAGAGGGACTCAGTTCGGCCGAGGAAAACTGGGGGACCTCGAACTTGGGGTGGAGGAAATCATCTTGCAGACTCAGACTGTCAGTGTAGTGAAACTTTCTCAGGATAATCCATATTGTCTCGTGGCGCCCCTTTTCGGCAAAGATTTTGTTCAACAGCAAGAATCCCTTCTCATCCATGCCGTACTCGCCCGTTGCACCGGGCGCAAATCGTTCCATGGATTTTTTTATATTTGCCAGATCGTCATCGCCCAACGGTTTCTCAAAACACTTGATCTGGAAGTCGTGGATCTCCTGGTCGTTCCAGTAGCCATCCTTGTCAGTGTCGCACAAGTGGAAAACACGTTGTAGCGCAGACACGGCCGCGGGCTTGAGCATGTTCTCCTTGGAGTCGTACAGAGGCGCTATTGGGTGTGTGACAGCCTTTTGGCAGAGGAAGAAGACCTCGTTGATGTTGTGGTGCTCTTTGGCGCTGACCCGTATGCATGAATCAATCTCCTTGAACTCGTTCATGACGGGCAGCATCTCCTCCGAGACGACCTGTGATGTTGTGCCGTTGGAGGCCAGGTCCGACTTGTTGGCGCACAGCACTACGGGCACGTTGACACCCAGCGAGCGGAAGTAGGGCATCCAGAAGAGGGCGACCCTCTCATAGCTGTAGTGGTCCGAGTATACCAGGAGGATGACATTGGACTTGCGGAGTTCCATGCGGAGAGCATGGCGTTCGTGGGGGAGGGCCGAGGTGTCGACAATGGTTGTGGTGACATTGTCGGGCGTGCCGAGCGTGGGCGGCAATGTCACCTGTGGCAGTACCGGCTGGATCTTTGCTGTGACAAAGACATCCTTGACGAGAGACGTGATGATGGAGCTCTTGCCGACGCCATCATCACCGCACAGACATATTCGTACTAGGGGGGGGGGGGTTGTGTCAGCTTAATAAAGTAGAGGCTCGGGAGGGCACACTCCACATACCGTTAGCCATTCCCCGGCTGCATACCTATTGCATTTCAAGCAGACAGCAAATTTGTAGATGACGCAGAGGGTAGGGGCGGAGCAAGGAGCGGAGGGAGAGGGGTCCGGGCGCACTGCCGCTCAAGGGCTCTCAGGGGAGTGTCGAGAATGGTGGAGGACCATGGCCAAAGCAATAATGGTGGTGGGCGTACACAGTGGAGGGCCTGCGTGTCTGCTGTCAAACGGGCTTGGCACACGTGGGAGACGATCGCAGGTGCGCACCCCCGCCAGCGCGCCCCGCAAGAGTGGTCGCTGGGAGAGGTGCAACATGGATGAGTGGCGGGCTGGTCGGCCGTTGTAGCGTGCCCCTGCACACGCCCGCCATGCCATTTGCATCTCCACCAACACCCAGAGAGGATCATGGATGGTGCGCTCCTCGAGAGCCATGGCATGGTTCCAGCGCAACACGGCACGGAGCCGAGAGGCGAGTGTCTCCGCTTTCCACTTCCCCAGATCCCACCGGTTGCATGGTCCGCGCTCTCGTCCTGTCGTCGCCGCCGCTGCTACTGCTACTACCGTTGCTCCTCTGCGTGCGCGTGCTCCCGCTCCCGTCGATGCACCTCACTCGCTCGCCCTCTCTCTCGGCCTTACGTCCTGTTCCTTGTTGAAAACGAGCCAGGGGACTGCTCTGCTGCCGAACTCAGAGCCGAACGCCCGAGACAGATTGCACTGTCGCTGCCCTGAGTTGCAACGATGTTGTGAGTGCCATAGCCTTTGTGCTGACTGCCTGCCAGCCGCCAATCGCATCCTTATCATGTTCCGCATGTACCGCGCGCCCTTGACTGATGTTTTACAGCGTGCTACCCCCTCCACCGCGCTACCCTGTCGGAGGCTATCCAGGCGCACAACCGGGTCAGCTTATCGAGACAAACAACACCATCACCCATCCCACGGGCCCCGACTACCAGCTCGTGGTTGGAGAAGGTATTTGGCCTACTTGACGCCCCCCCCCCCCGCCGATGCATGACGCCTGACGCTTACACTGATGCTATGGTAGGAACCTATGTGCTTCGCGACGACCTCCACCTAGCCACTCCCCCGCCCCATCCCTCGGAAGCTCCCGTCCATAATCCCAATCCCCTTGCGACGACCGTCTCTCCACCTACGGCCGGTACCAAGCTTTCCCTCGTTGCTCTCGCGCCCCGCCAGCCCTCGCAATCCCAGCTGTATCGATTCGGCACGCGCACCTCGACGCGATCCCAGGTCCCACAGAGCATCCAGGAATCGCCACACGAGTCGAACAGCCAAGCCAGTGATGTGGACTCGCATGGCGCAAACGGATTCGCAGCAGCACCCTGGGATGGTCTAAAGACACCCGTGTTTGGCGAGGGAAATCAGGCCCTAGCTGCAGTCAACGGCAAAGACTCCAAGGACCCGTCCAAGAGACGAAAGCCTAAGAGCAACATCGTCAAGAGCAACTCGTCGTTTGTGTCTAGAGTCATTCCACACGAGGCGCTGACAAAGCGGCTACAAGAACACAATCCCAATGGCCTGTACGCCTTTGCAAACATCAACCGCGCGTTCCAATGGTTAGACCTGACGTCACCCACAAAAGAGGAGCACTTGACAAAGATACTCTTCACCAAGGCGCACGCGCTATGTCACGACATCAACCAGATCACAAAAGGGCCAAACCACCTGGACATCATCATGGGCTTCTCCACAGGCGACATTATATGGTATGAGCCCATGTCGCAAAAATATGCGCGCATCAATAAGAACGGTGTCATCAATGCAACGGCTGTGTCAGACATACGGTGGCTGCCAAACAGCGAAAACCTGTTTCTGGCCGCACACATGGACGGCAGTCTAATCGTCTACGACAAGGAGAAAGAAGATGCCGTGTTTGTGCCAGAAGAAGTCGCGTCGTCACCGCCTTCGGACGACAGCTTGAGCGAGGGGGAGAAGAAGCTGAAGGCGCTCTTGACCATCAAAAAGTCTGTCAACTCCAAGAACCAGAAGACGAACCCCGTCTCCTACTGGCAAGTGTCGCGGTCAAAGGTCAACGCGTTTGAGTTTTCCCCCGATCGCAGACACCTGGCAGTAGTGTCCGAGGACGGGTCATTCCGAATCATGGACTTTCTCCGAGAAAAGCTGTTGCACCACTACATGAGTTACTACGGCGGTATGATGTGTGTATGCTGGTCGCCAGACGGGCGATATGTGGTGACGGGAGGTCAAGACGACCTGGTGTCGATATGGTCGTTGGAGGATAGCATGCTGGTGGCACGTTGCCAAGGACACAACTCGTGGGTGACTGCTGTGCAATTCGACCCATGGCGTTGTGACGAGCGCAATTATCGGATTGGAAGTGTGGGAGAAGACTGTCGCTTATTGCTGTGGGACTTTAGTGTGGGCATGCTGCACAGGCCGCGAGCAGTGAGTCAAACGAGGGATTTTGATGCTGACATGGAGATGCTGACGGTGATTTAGGCTTCGGTGCGACAGCGCGGCAGCATCACGTCGTCCAACCTGAAGATGCAGCGCTCGCAGACGGGTAGTTCCATCAACCGGCTGCGGTCAAACTCTAACTTGACATCGGGCAGCCTGTCGGAGGAAGAGGAAGTTGTGCATCCAGTAGAGCCGCGGGCGCGCACGGCCATGCTACCTCCGGTGCTGGTGAGTCGACTTGAAACCTCAACATTGGGCAAATTCTAATCGCCGTGAGGGACAGGCTAAAACGGTCCACGAGCATCCACTGTGCTGGTTAGGGTTTGAGGAGGACTGCATCCTCACATCATGCAAGAATGGTGAGTTGCTATGAACAAAGAGAATTTGTCGTGTCACCTCGTGTCACCTCATGTCCACTCATGACACGCACGTTGCACGCCACCCATCGGTGAGATCTGCGATAAGGGTCGTGCTAGTGCGCGGCATATTGTCGTGCGCAGGAACACCCGTGTGTTCGGAGGCTCCTAGCGCTTCGCAGAGACTCGCTTAGGATTTGTTGAGTGTGTGAAGGGTCAAAGGGTAGATAAGACAAAGTGGATCAAATGCTGACTTTGTTGACCATAGGCCACATCAGAACATGGGACCGGCCAAAGGAAGGGACTGGCAATGACGACAGCAGCATGTCGGCGATTGCGAGCGCAGCTGGTTCGTAGGGCAGGGGTGGTTGGAATCAGCAGGAGTCGGAGTAATAGACTGGAGTAAGGTTTGATAAGAGAGTAAGACAAGCTTTATCCTTGTCTTTGGATGGAAGGCAGCTGCTGTGTGCTGTGCTGTGCTGTGCTGTGGTGGTCGGACGTTTGGCCGTGGCTCCGATATAACCCGATGTGTGGCTCACATGCGAGACAGGAGTGTGTGCGTGTTCAGCCCTACGGGAGGGAAGGAGGTATTTTCTTGTTCTAGAACGTGTGGTGTAGCAGGCAGGAGCAGGAGCAGGAGCAGGAGCAGGGTGCACACGACATGTGTATCCTGACGCGGGATCAAAATCAAGTTTTGTTATCTCCACCCCGATGCAGGCAGGTGCGTAAATCATGACAATTGCTATCCGGCCGGGAAACTCTCCTGAGACGTGATTGCGAGATGCGCGGCAGGCTTGGTAGTGGATAGCGACAGGCGATGCGGGAATTAGTGTTAGGGTGCATGTGTAGTCGCGTCTCTACCTGGCTGCGGGTCCGTGGATGAGGCTCTGCGATATCCACCGTTGCGGCAATGCACGTCTAGCCGCAGATTTTCATGGCCGTGCTCGCCCGGGCCGAGAAATACCCTCGCGTCCAGCGACGGACTGGCTGTGAATAGAGCAGAGCAGAGTAGAGCAGAGCACAGTGGGCGGGCTCGTGTTGGGATATGGCATTGCTGCATTTGGAGTAAACTAGGAGAATAAATTGGCATGCTTTGATAACAAGCAGGTATCGACGAAGGAGAGAGAGAGAGAGAAACAACAGAGGCAGTGACGCAATATGGGAGGTCATGTCCATGTCGTCACGTGCTTGGCGCAAATAAGACGCACTCAGCCTCCGATGCCATGCAGATACCGTAAAGAGAGAGCAGAGTGTGTGGGATGGAAGGAGGTTGGGCGTCAGCCCACTAGCACGAGAGACGCCTCCTCTGTCCCTCTCTAACTGATACCGGCGAGGTGCATCGCCCAGGTGGCCATGGGGGTTTGGATTTTTCGCTGCGACTTGTCCGATTGCGGTAGCGGCAAAGGCATGCAAGCTGTGGCGCAATGCTTGGCTGATGGTGGATGCGGCATGGATGGGCTGGTACCACGGTCCCAAAGAGTGGATATCTACTTCCATGTGTATGCAGATGCGTCCAGTGCGTACGTACCTTTTCCACATACTGGACCACATCCACACATTCACATGTACAGACGTACTCACACATGCAATGATATGTACACAGGCCACCGAGGCCCACGCCCGCCAACAGGCCTGACCACCGACGCGCGTAATCGTGTGCTGTTCGTATGTGCCGGTCAGTCAGGGCAGAGGGCAGTGCTGCTATCGCGCCGTTGGCGACACGCTATCGGAACACTTTCTTCGATGCCACCCCCTGCGCCTGCTACACCCTAATCGCGGCTTGAAAAATATTCCCAGACGGCCCCTTGGAGCACAGAAAACGCGCTAATCAGAGCATCGATGCGAGCGGCCGCAGTCCCCACCCAAGTGCAAGAGCCCATGAGCTCATCAGGGTGCACCTGCGAGTAGTGTAGTGTAGTCGTAGCAGCCCTGGCCATCCCACGCCGCTGTTCTTTGTAGAGTAGTATATCTGAAGCCGAAGCAGCACGCGGCAGCGCCGCCACCACCACTACCGCCAGCTGCACGCCTCCTTCTCCTTCCCGTCTACTCTACTTATAGACTATACATACATATACACGTCACATTCCCTGCCCTCCCTCGCTGCTTCCTCTTCCCACAACCCCCCTCCTTGGATGGACCACTGATACACCACCCTCGACCCTCACCTGTCTGAGTCGATCCCACGCCCGTCCCTCTCAGCCCCGCCGCCAGCACCCTCACACCACAATTGCTGGGCTCCCATTCGCAACCACCATCCGTCATCTCCGTCTCACTCGCCATTGGCATCCGCTCTCTCCGAGCCCGTATTTTGACTCTCGCGTCAGCTTGCGACTGCAACCGGCGGATATATCTTAGCTGCCGATTCCCCACGTCGCACCCGGCTGTCTGATGCTTGTCTTGACCTCGGCGTCATCTTTAGCCAACCCTTTGTTACATCATGCCTCGCCCAAGCGTTGGGGTATTTGGCAGAAATGCCACACCTGTCCTCGAGATCAAGTACGCTTACACCACTGCAATTCTCGCAATGCGAGTATCTAATTGTTCCACAGGCCGGATTCGCCTTTTGTCGTCTTCTACGGCGAGTCATCCGAGTCGCATGAGACGGAGCTCAAGGGCAAGTTGATCCTGAACAACCCAGAGTCCATGTCAGTGCGTAGCTTGCGCATAACACTTACAGGCACTCGCAAAGTTTCGTACGGTAGCACCCCTTCTGGCACAGCCTCGCCATCTAGTTGCATGCTAACGTTTTCGCGCCTGCAGATGGCACTTGACCAATACCGTCACTCCGCAGCCCATAACGCAAAAAACAAACTTCCTCGTCGAAGAGCTCCACCTGTTCCCCATTGATACCGGCCACAAGACCAAAGCACACAAGATCAATGCTGGATATCATGAGTGGGACTTTAAATTCAAGATGCCTCAGAACCTCGACCAGAGTGTCGAGGGGCTGCCCTCAAACTGGATCGTGTACAACTTGAAGGCAACCGTAGACAGGGGTTACATGAGCAAGCAGCTCAGTGCTTCGACGCACATTCGCGTAATCCGGACGCTTGGCCGCGACATGCTCGAGTCCATGCCCATGGAGCAGATCAACGAGGATATTTGGGCAAACAAGCTCGCCTACAAGATCACCGTCCCCCAGAAGAACTACATTGTCGGAACGCAAATAACTGCAGACTTTGTTCTGATTCCCCTTCGAAAAGGTGTCGAGATTTCAACGATTAAGATGGAGTTGATTGAATCGCGCCAACTCTTTGCAGAGTACGCTGGTCGGCGCATCAGTCACCAGCAGGAAATGCAAGTTGCGCTGACTGAAGGCAACATGCCTGAAAACTCTGCGCGTACAGTTCCCGATGGAACCGAGGATGCCGATGCCCTTTTCGACGAGTCGCATCGCTTTTCCATGACGCTCGATCTACCAAAGTCCCTGAAAAACTGCCGGCAATCAGTCGACACAGAGAACATTCGTTTGAGCCACAAGCTGCGCTTATACGTAAATCTCAAGAACCCAGAAGGTCATACCAGTCAGCTGCTCGTCAAGAACCACGTCCACCTCTTCATCTCGCCAAATCTACCTCCAAACGAAGATCAAAGCGTCGTGGTTGATCAGAACATATTGTCTCAGCAGGCGATGCAGGATGAGGTCAACCAGAACGCCCCACCTACGTACGGACTGCATCAGCTGGATGAGCTCTACAACGACATTGATCCTTCCGGTTTCATGACACCCGGCGGTTACCGCAGCATGATGAACAGTGGTGCTAACACGCCATTTTTCGCTCAAAGCAGGCGTGGCTCAACTGAAGATCTCACGTCGTTGGACGCTGCCATGCACCAACCAGGTGGTGGTGCGTCGGCAGCAGCTTTGCAGCATCGTCTTGCAAACCTCAGCATGAACCACAGCGACCACCCAACACGCTTCCACCCGTCAAGGCAAAATTCGTCAGGTGACAGTACCCCTGCTCACAACAGTGAGCCTGCGTATTTTGATCTCCCTGCATCGAATTACGACATGGATGCGCTAGCCAGGACACCCAGCTACAACACGGCTGTACGTACCCCCGCAGGTTCGCGGACACCTGGCGGCATGGACATGCATCTCCCCTCATACGAGATTGCGACATCGAGGCCAAGCTCTCCAAACAGGAGCCGGAGCAGCAGAGCTACGACCCCTAGTCCGGCTCGTAGCCTGGATACCCTGAACGAGGAGACATACCGAAATACACAAATGAACAGTAGGAGACAGAGCCCCAGGACCAGTGATGATGGAAGGTAAAACACCCATCTTACTCTCTTCCTCTCTCCCCCGTTCTATTATCGGCATACGACGGTCTTTGAGGAGCCTGCGCCTTGCTCTTTACGCAGTGCGTAGCAGCCACCGAAGACGTCTTTTTCTTCAGCACCACGGGCACAGTTCCATTCTTCTGGAGGCTCGCCCGGTCTCTTCCAATCATCCCCACTCTCAAAAGCACATTATTTCCTGCCTTTTTTTCAAATATCTCCTCATGTTTATACGAAAGTACCATTGCTTAATGATTCGGTTCTGTATGAGCAGTATGCACACCGCCGCACTTACGCCGACACTATCATTTTCCTCGACCTCGTCCGACGGCTCGCTCCCACCACCACATACCCCGCAAACACCTTCTGTGGGGCTGACGGCCCCCCCACCCGTACTGGCTCGTCGAGGCCGCAGCTGCTCGGTCCGCTCAGGCAGCACTTTTCTGGAAGTCCCACAGCCGAGAATGCGCAATCGGTCGTCGTCGTCTTCGTCGTCTACGCCGTCTCTTCGTGAGGCAATCGATGAGCTAGCTGGGTTTAGGAAAGCGCTCAGACATGTGGGGTGATGGGGGACTATATATGTCTTCGTATTCCCTTATCCTTACCTTGTTCATTTTTTTTCCAGCACTACACGTTTATACGACTTTTTTTTAGATTTTAGATTTACGATTCACCGCATTAGTGTTTACCCTTGTTTAGAGATATCTTCCTTTCTCTCCTTTCTCTCTAGGTCTCAGCTAGCAAAGAGGACGCGGTTTAAAACGACAAATGGTCATGGGAGGTGTGCATGGCTTTTTTTTTTAAGTATTTCTGTGGTTGTTTTCATTGCCAGCGAGTATGTGTATATAGTCCGAGGATACCCATTATTTCTTTTTTCTCCAAATCAATCCATAGAATTATTGATATCTCGAATTTTCCATGCAAGTGATATGTGCCTTGTGACTTTGTATGAGTAACTGGATGTTTTCGTGTCACATTGTACAAAGATTTTACAAAAGACTTTGAACACATATATACGATAACTATGTTCAATGTCACAACATGCAAATCATAACTTCATTACTCCATCTACTCCACCCATACCCCCCCAACCATCTACTGCGGATAATGCTCAAACAAAAACCCGGCGGCCAACTCCACATTTCCATCCGTAGCATTCAACGCAGCAACAGCTTCATGCCGCTGAAACCCCAGCGCCACCAACTTCTGCACCTCTTCATCAGGCCAGGGAGCACTCGCCTGCGGCAGCCGCGTAACCATACTCCTTATCTGATCCGCCGTAACATTCTGCAACGGCCGATTCGTATGCATTTGCTGCTCCTCTGGCTCCTCAGTCCTCAATACCTTGCCCAGCGCAGCCACCCAGCCCACCTGCACCGTCTCACTCACCTTCCCGTCGTCGAGCTCAGCTACATGCACGATATCAGCATCGCAATCCCCAGCGTTGAAATACTCCCAGCCCATGACGCCGCCAAACCCTTTTCCCACATTGCGGTACTTATTCCGGAGCACAGCACAGTTTTGTCTTAGAGTCGCGAGCGAAACGTGGCCCGCGCCGTTCCCAGGGTTCGTTACTACGCCCATGACTACGCGTTCGGGCTTCCAGCCTGCGGCGACGATGGCGTCGTACCACAGCGTGCTCGCTGCGTCGCCCCATCCGCAGTAGAATTGCGTGTTGTACCACGCCACCTCCCGTCCAAAGACACTGCATTCGAGCTCTGGGTAGCTGAAGCCGCTGAGGTGCGGTAGCGTGGGGTGTAAGGGGTTCGGACTGGGCCCCGAAGCGAGCATGGGGCGGGGCGGGCGGAGATGCGCTGGGATCTTGGGGTCAGGAATGAGAGCTGTGGCGACGGGAGCGAGGGTGATGAGAAACGAGGGGCCGAAGTCGGATCGGAGCCGCGAGATGAGGCGTGTGATTGTGGAGAGGGGGATTTCTTCTTCGACGTCGAGGTCTAGGCCCGATAGCTTGTAGCGTGAGATGATGGCGTGGAGGGGGGTGTAGTAGGCTTCGAACTAAAAGATGTTAGTACTTAGTGAACTCGGCTTTGTGAGAGACACAGAAGGGAGTCTATACGCTCTCGTCATCGCCGCTCAACCTCTCATAGCTGCCTTTTGCTGCTCCGCCCAGCATGCCGAGCACCTTGACCCCGCTCCCTTGCAACCAGTTCACCTCACCCCATAGCTGATCGTACCGTGTATCGTCTGGCTGATGGTCGTTCAGTGTAATATTGCCCGCGCCCTCGTTGAGATGGATGGCTGCGACAATGACATGAGTAATGCCCGTGTTGTTGGTCACCAACGGCAGTAACGAGTGGTAGTTGCCCTGTGAATCGTGAAACGTCTGGTGGTATACAATAAGCCGAGGGCCAGTTCCCGGGGGAAGTAACTTGGGTGCTGACGAAGCCATGACCTAAGGGACAACGTCGTCGCAACTGTCTAGGGACGGGCCTGGTACGTGGATGCATGCCTGCACCCAACGCGTGCCATAGGGCTGAAGTGGGGCAGACACGCTACGTCATAGCGTACTTGCAACACCAAAGGGCAGGGTCTCAGTGCATTCTTATTTGTCCATATTCACATGGTGTAGGCGATCCAATCATGTAGAGTAAAGTGCTAGTGTAACATTTGATGCATGTGCTCTCGTAACATATCCCGTCCTAAACGCCGCTTGCTGTCCGATGAGGTACAGCCCTAATCCTTGTATCCAGAACATAGCGGGAATCTCATGTAGACACTAACGTCTCGTGTGCTCTGCAACAATTGTGCAAGCCACCAAAATTGCGTCATAGTCGTAGCATCCTCCAGGGACCGCTAGTGGTAGCCGTTGCTGTACTCGTGGCGCGTGTCGCCGTTCATCCCACCAAAGTAAGGGTGGATGACGGTTTGTTTGGCCGAGATGCGGCCAGCGGGGTCATATACAAGGAGTGCATCGAGCAGGTCAAGGCCCACCTCGTCAAGGTTGGTGACAATGTTTGCAATGTCCGTCTTGGCCCACTTAGGGAACGAGGGCTTGAAGTCGGGGAAGGACGTCACACCAGGCCAATCCTGCTCGCTGGGTGTACCGAGAATGCTAGTCTTTGTTAGCAATCACATGTCTTACCCAAGGGATGTGCACATACCGGAAGATCTTGAAGATCTCATCAATCTCAGAGTCGCCGGGGAAAAGAGGCTTGCGTGTGCACATCTCGGCGAAGATGCATCCAACAGACCACATATCTACACCAGTCGAGTACTGGCGACCACCGAGCAAAATCTCCGGGGAGCGGTACCATAGCGTAACAACCTATGTCGTGTCAGAAAAGGAGTCTTCATTATATATGCCAGCCGCCGTACCTCGTGGGTGTATGTTCGTAGTGGCACACCGAAAGCGCGAGCCAGACCAAAATCCGCCAACTTGAGATTGCATTCCTTGTCAATCAACAGATTCTGGGGCTTGAGATCACGGTGGAGCACTCGGTGAGCATGGCAGTATCGGACGCCCTGGCAAAGCTGCATCATAAACTTCTTTACGGTCTTGTCGTCCATGTTCAGAGTCTGGCCGGCAAGACCAGAGCCCTCTGGCAGAGCTTTGCCTCGTCCACCCATGCTGACTGGCAGCGCCTCCATGTATTTCTTCAGATCGAGGTCAAGGAACTCGAAGACAAGGTAGAGCTTGTGACCATCGGCGTGAACAATATTCAGCAGGCGGACAATATTGGGGTCGTTCATCTCCTTAAGTAAGGAAATTTCGCGGATGGCAGTCGAGGGCACGCCCTCATCTTCGGCTTCGAGACGGATCTTCTTCAGGGCGACAATGCGCTGGTCCTTTGTGGTCAGGTCGCGGGCCTTGTACACAACACCGTAGGTTCCTGGCAAGTGTTAGTAAAATTATGCAGGCATATCTACAGAACAGATGCCTCCATACCCTCTCCGACCTTTTCCAACTTTTGGTAGTTCTCCATGGTGGCGGACTGCCGATTGCGGATGTTTCAGACGACAAGCGGTCAGGCGTGTTTGTTTAGCCGCGTCCAAGATGGGCAGTGTAGTGGCAAACGAGATTCTTGTTTGGATAATCTCACGTGATGTGTACCTGTGGTTAGTAGTCGTGAGGGAGCGAGGGCGGAGCCGCTGCGAGGGTCACGAAGCGGGAGAGAGGGTTTGGCGTTGGTGTTTGTGCATGGGAATTTCAGAGAGGGTAAACACCTCACCGCATCGGGCAACGCGCCGCCATCAGCCGCAAACGCGAGATTAGTCAATGGCTCACTGCTCTCCCCCCCCCCTGTCCCCCACAATCCCTTACATGTGCCATTGCCTGTTGGTTGCCTGCGTTTGCAGTCTTCACTGGATTCCCGGGCAAGGATGCATGATCTCGATCCCCATGAGCGGCCGCCAGACGGCATACGCAATGTCTACAAGAAGTACCAAAAGATGAAGTTGAATGCGTTGAACAATGACCCAGACATTATTGATCTGGCGAGCCATGACGCCTCTGCATCGACCACCAGCACTAAAGTCCATGTTGTCAAAGAGTACGCCACCAAAGATCTGACCGCTATTTTCCAGGCTTTTGCTGGCCAGGACGTAGCCTTGGATGTCATAACTATTCCCGACTCAGTCCCAGTCTACGAGCACGACGACATGCCAGGTAGGGAACACCTGCATCTCACTCTTTGTCTACTTTCACTCGCCATCTGAAAAAAGAACCCAACTTCCACATCCCGCCTCCAGCCCTGACAAAAAGGTAGGTCTCCACATCATCCCCAGTCTCTTCCCCGCAGAAATTCAATCCATCCTCTTATCCCGTCTGCTCCACCGGGACCTCTCATCCCCGGTTCATCTCACAAACATCCACACTCACTACACCATCTCCTACCCCCCGTCCCATACCTCCTTCTTCTCCATCCCCCATTCCTCCCCCACTACCATCGCCACACCCCTCGACCCCACAGTCCACAAACCCCTCTCCATCGCCCAACTGCTCACCAAGAAGCTGCGATGGACAACGCTGGGCGGCCAGTACGACTGGACTGCAAAACAGTATCCTCCAACGCCTCCGCCACCATTTCCTAAGGATACTAAAGGGATGCTGGAATCACTGTTTCTCGGTACGAAAGCTGAAGCTGCAATTGTAAATTTGTATTCTCCAGGCGATACGCTGAGCGTGCATCGCGACGTTGCCGAGACTAGCTCTACAGGACTCATCAGCGTGAGCTTAGGATGCGATGCTATATTTGTCCTTGGCACCTCGCAAGTCCAGGACGACGGCGAGGTGCGTGATAAGGTTCTAACGCTGAGGCTGAGATCCGGTAGTGCGGTTTATATGAGTGGGCCCTCCCGGTTTGCATGGCATGGGGTTCCACAGATTGTGGCGGGGACGTGTCCTGATTATTTAAAATCGTGGCCTAGTAGTACTGCACAAGAAGAAGGCGAGCAGATTGGACAGTATCAAGACTGGGCTGGGTGGATGGCGAACAAGAGAGTCAATCTAAATGTACGGCAAATGTGGGATTGATGTTTCAACTGAGATATTCATTGATACGTAAAAAGCGTATTGGCATAATTAGGGATAGGGATATAGCACAACTGCATCTGTGTATAAGGGGGTATGTGTATACGCAATAAAAGCCAACATATCAACAAGCAACATTCAACCTATTATCTTTCCAGGAGCCTGTTCAGCCCTCTGACACGACACCAGTTACCCATCTAGTTCTTGACCGTCTCAGCGGGCGCGGGAGTCGTGGCGCTAGCAGGCACAGCAGAGCCCGGAGTGGATCCAGTCTTTTCCAGTCCCTGTGTCTGAAGGGGAGCAGGTTGCTTGTCGACTGGTGAAATGGGGCTTGTAGGTACGCTGGCATCAGGTGCCTCGGCAGTAACCGTGCCCGCAGCCTGGCGAATTACCTCCCACCATTGCTGCGCAGCCTGTGGTGTGTGCGCCTTGAATGCCACCTCGTGCGTCATGGAGAAGGCACCACCAATTTTGCCCTTGGACACATCTTTGCCCTTTACATTGAACTTCTGGCCGTTGACTGCACCAACAACGCAGTCGGGAAGATATAGAGACAGCTCTGGAGCGGGGTCCTTGGCAAAGTCATCGTCTGTCCTGAACTCGTGCAGGAACTTGGATGGCGTCACAACGTAGTAGTTTGTGTCATAAGAACGCATAATCTTGCCCCTCTTTTCGAGCGAGCCTGAAATTAGAGGCTGAGTCGCGCTGTGGTGTTGATTGGGGAAGGTGATATCTGCCAGAGTTCGTGCAGGAGCAGAGGGGTCGATGAGAACGTTATTGTTGCGCTGGATGAAGCCGTTCCACTCAAAGTCTAGAGGAATGCGCTGAGACGTGCCAACCATGTCTCCGTACGCCGCTTTAGTGTGCTCGGCCTGCGTGGTGACGACTTGCAGGAATTGACCCATGCCATGTTGAATCTCCTGGATAATGTGGGCCTCAAACTGTGCGAAAGAGTTTTGCACAGCGATAAGGTCTTGTCGGTTGTTGTTTTCTTCTTGGACCTGCTTGTACAGACGGTGGTTGATCCCACGTTTTAGGATGTAGGGGTCGTCAGTAGCCTTCATATGACTGCCACTATGCGAGTCAAATGCGGCAGCATGTTGTCCAAGAAGCTCAATGTGCTTTTGAGTGAGCAAGCGTGCCTTGTCGACTGCCTTGCTGCCTTTGCCAGCGCCTTTTGTAAGCTCCTTACTCTTGTTCTTGATTTCGGTGTGTAGACGCTCGAAGATAGGGAGGATGGTACTCTTGAGTTGCTTAGCTGTCTCGTAGTGTTGGTTGGAGATTCCCTAGCGCTGTCAGTAGAGCCCAGTTATCTCCTGTTGGAACAGCATACCTGGGTGTTTGATCGGATGTTTTCAAACATGCCTGCAACACCACCAAGCGACTGGTCAAAGTGGTGGCCCTCCTTCAGTGGATCTTTCACGGTCTATGTTATGTTAGCGTGCGTGTAGAAGGGATGCACATGTAACAACAACCTTCAAAACCCGCTCATACTCTTTGCCGTGTGCGTGGTTGGTCTTTTCGGTCGCGGTAATGTAGTCTTCAAGGTAGCCAACTGCGTGTTTCCAAGCTTGTAACCGCTCTGCAAAGAGCCTGGTAACCTATATATTTATCAGTGACGTGTTTGTTCAAATAGACTTGCAACAGCTTACCTCCGAGGTGTCTTCTCCTGGAATGGCATCATCGTCGCCAGAGCGATTGGTGGATGTGCGCGATGGCATTTCACTCGTGGCATACGTAGGCGCCGACATTGTGTGTACGGTATGTTAATATGTACAGATAGGAATTGAATGTGTTTGAGGAGGGGCGTGAAAGTGAACGCGCCTAGGAGAAGCGTAGGGGTAATATGAGCTTCACGCCGCTCTAACTGGATTCGGTCCGGTTGAAGTGGGGTGTGCGTGCACTGGGAATAAGATATGCAGGTATTATCGGACAAAACAGTGGATCCCCATGCAGATAGCTGTCAATCCTGTAAAATCAGGGTCCAGAGTGAGGGATTCGAGATGGATTTAAGCTCTTGAGCTCCAATTCAGATCGACGCTTGGACTGTAGGGACAAGAAGGGCACTCAGGGTCTAGCTACGCCCATGACGTCAACGCTGGCAACTTTGGACGCCATCTCCGCGACATAGCTCCCGATCTGCACCACTATCCCTGAACAGATCCCGAGATGCGCTTTGGTTGTCATCCGTACTTGTTTGCATCTGCAGCGTGTAGACTGTGCCGCCGTATGCGTCGTGGACTGGTTGCGGTCCACACACACGCATAGTACCGCTTTGCCCCACCATCGCAATTTAGAGACTAGTTAAGAATGCCTACATCTCGCGTTTCGTAGAGTATCATACCCGCAAACTCTCTAGTCTTATCTGCCATAGGGACACCTGATGAGTCAAGTGGCGCCAGCCGTCCACCACACTCCTATGACGCAAGACTATGACTTCAGTGGCATAAGGGGAACATGCTCGCCTGGTCATTGAAGAATGGTTCACTAAAAAACACAGCCTCATGAAATAGCAGTCCAGCCACAAATTTGCAATCGTGCTCCTTGGGCGTGCTTTAGTGTGCACTACTACGTACTCCCTTATGGCCCGACAATGCTACCGTGTTATAGCCAAGGTTCGTTGTGAACTTAATGCTGCTTTTTGTGATTTCCAACAAGAGTAGAGCGCTCACTCACTCAACATGCCAAGCTTCATGTCTTCAAGCCTTCTTCTACTATACCCCTTGGTTGTTCTACAACAATGTAATACAGGAATTTGATTATACCAAAGATATAAGAAAAAAGGTACCAACTCTCCTTGCCCTCCGAATAGCCAACCTGTTATGTCGAAGTGAGGCCGCAGCAATACAAAGTATTACTTGGAATGAGAGCTAAGTACAGCAATATGAAGTGCTACTTGGAATGCGATCGAACCATACAATGTGAATCATCAATATACTGCAAGCAGATACATTATGTGGGACAATAACAGGTGAGCTTCCAATATCGCACTAAGTTTTGGTTCAGTACTGTTGATTCGTATAGACTATTAGGTTACTAATCGCATAGACAACACCCTAGAGTGAACAGTTAACTCGGACCAAGTAATACGTTAACAGAGTACTTACAGTTAAGAAACAAATTTGACCGTTGCCCGGGCCGATGAGGAGACATCGAGCAAAGACGGTTGGGGTGAGGAGGACGAGGGTCATGAGAAAGGTGGTAGTCCTCATTGTGACGGAGTGGTGTAAATTCTGAGTTGTAGGTTAAGAATCTGAGAATTGTAGGAAAGTGAGAAGAACAGTTTGGTATCTTGTCTAATTTTTCAACAGAAAGCAGTGTCCTATAACTATATACTTATTTATTCTATGCTCTATTTTAATAGACTATACAGGTACAGATTTTGTTAAATGCCCGTAGATTGTACCATCTACTAGTTTACGAACATTCATTGCCAATACTACCGTTTGAGCTAAGCAAGGACAATAAATTAATATCAAGGTGAGGACTAAGAGCTATTTAGTCAAGAACCAGCTCCTAATCAATAACATTATTCCCCAATATGTATACGAAGCTAATTTTTGTGTACTGCACAAGGCTAAGTCAAGATAGTTAAACTAGGCTAAGCTGATGGAGAATCAGATCGAGGAGCTGTTTTATTTTGAACGACAGTAGGCTATCCTTGCTTACATAACATGCAATCTTGCCTAAAAAAGGACTCTAGCGGAGTTTGATTTAATTGAAAATAGTACTTAGGTAGCATCTGTATTGCTACGCTCGAAAATAATCATGGTTGTTCTGACTATCGTGGCTATTCCGGCCATCTCGATCTTGGCTTCTGTAGCTACATTGAAACTTTATGTCCCTGCTTTTCTAGCTAATTCTGCTACCAGACGATGGCTTCTTGTTTTCCTTTAATTTAATAGCAGAAATATACTGGTCCCACTAATTATGCGATTACAGTAGATAGGTAGGTTGTGCAGATTAAAACTACAGGATAATGGAGTTGATAGCTAGGTTAGCAGATAAGATATATATGCTCAGCAGTGATAGCAGATCTCTCAATCTTACATACTGCAACAAAACCATAGTCGGTTCGTATGTGAACATGTTATACTGCAATGCCATGTCAAGTCTAGATAGGCCAGCTGACTACAGCATATGCAATGCGCCGCCATATCAGACAAGTGAGTCAGCCTACTAGTCAAACCCACTATCTTTTTATTGGATTACACTCGTTTAGTATCTTTTCCTGTATGGATGACTGTATATATGCAAACACTCAGCCCATGCGCATCACGTTCCCATGTGTGGCAAAGGAAATGGAGGGGTTGCTTATCGATAAGAACCTCAAAAAGTTATCCCAGAGTGACGCAAACTCGCGCTCAGTGATTCTTCGTAGCAAACATTTCACCCAACATGACTTCGGTATTCGGGCCCATCGCTGGTGAGTAGAGAAATGATTATATGTGCATAAACATGTCTAACAACTCCTCCGTCTAGAGGAACACCAAGAAAAGTTCGATCTCGGCATCTGGCACGCGCTCTTCAACTGGGCCAACCTTACCATCGCTGTACAAAACCAATGGGGCGGTCCTGATTCTTCAGAAAAGCGCGACTGGCTTGCAGGCCAGATTTCGGAGCGTTTTGCAGCAGAGCCTCTGACCGATGCCGAAGATGTGGAAATCATGCTTCTGCAGGTCCTCGAGGATGAATTTGGTGTGCGAGTAGAAGACGATACTGAAGTCGCAGTCGCGCGTGAAATTATGACAATACGCAAAGAAATTGGCGAGGGCAGCACCGCAACGGTGGATGCGCTGCAGAAAAAATGGGAGGCTAGAAAAGGAAAAGAGGTTGCGACTGGCAGTGTAAACGTCAAGGAGACCAACCAAGAGGGCGAGTGGGATAGTGTGGATGAGGAGAGTGACGAAGACGACGACGACACAGAGATGACGGATGCGCCTGCGCTCGTGCCCACAAAGCCAAAGACCAAGCCCGAGCCAGAGGTTGACGAGGATGGTTTCACGACGGTTGTTGGCAAGAAGAAGAGGTGAAAGGAGGTCTGACTAGGTTTGATTACGACGACAAAAAACCATGCGCATCATGAAAAAGGCGCTGCCTGGCGGAGGCGGGTCCGGGAGCAGTGCTCATGGCAGATGGTGTGATAAGCGTACTATGTACAACGCAGCTGCCAACCGCCATGTTGGAGAGAGAGAAGGAAAATATACTTCAGGGACTTTAAAAAGCAAACTCAAATACCAGTATCATATCTGCTATGTTGTACTGTCACATGACAGGTTGTTGCTGTTTTATGTTGATGCATGGTGGCCTTGTACCTGACCGCGCACATACGCACCCGAAAGCTAGCGCACTGGCTTGCGGAGCATCATGCATGGCCCCGCTCGTACTGCTCTGAACCCTTGATGCAGCTGACCAACGACTCATATCCCTAACCTCACCGCCTGCAAACCTTCGTACTATCGCTCCTCTTCTGGAGCATCGTAGCCATGGATTCCGCCTACGACCACATCCAGGAGGAGAGCTACCCCACCAAGCAGTCCACAGACGGAGACAGCACCCACAACGAGACGGCCAACAACTTCAACGCCGAGTTCCAGGATGCATACAAGGCCATATCAAGCAGTCCATGGGCGGCGAGGCTAGGAGGCTTCTTGGGCAACGTGAAGAAGCAGGTAAGTCGCATGAAGGGCGAGTCTCGACGACCAGCCGCTGACACCACGCGACACAGGGTGAGCAGTACTATGATAATGCGAGCAAGCAGTATGCACCCTTGACCAAGAACGCGACAGCGAGTGTCTCCAACATTATCAGCCATGCCCGAAAGATTTCCCTTCAGCCCAGCGAATCGTCGGCCTCCAAATCCGTCTCTTCCGGGCAAGATGACCCTGCAGAAAAGGCAAAGGAAGACAAGACAAAGGAAGAGATAGAAGCACACCCAGATCGCCCCGAGTCTCTAGTTGCAGATGTTGTCAAGGAGGCAGAGGGAATGTTGGCAATCTTCAGGTCTGAAGCTGCGAAGCGTCTCAAGGATGTCGAGAAGGCAGAAGATGCGGCTGACGAAGCCCTCCTCAAGTTTGGCACCAATATCCGCAACTTTCTCCGCGACGCTGTTACTATTGCGCCGCCCGAGTCTGGCTCGGAAGCTGCCAAGAACGGCGATGTTCTATTCGAGTCCAAGGACAGCAGCGGAAAGAAGGTCGTCCACGCTACGCGCTTTGATGCCCAACTCCACGTGATCCACTCGACTCTCGACTCTTTCCTCAAAGACCCCGCCAGCCCGGAGTGGGAGAAGTGGAAAGCCTCGTTCGACGCGGAAACCAAGACGGATGCTATTGCCAAGGATTTGGAGAAGCACGAAGAGTTGAGGAGTGCCATGGAGAAGTGCGTCCCAGAGAGGGTAGAATACAAGGTTTTTTGGTGCAGGTACTACTTCCTACGCCACGTCATCGAGAGCGAAGAACAAAGGAGGAGAGAGATGCTCAAGGGTATGTTATTAACGAAGATGATCTGTGCTGCAAAATAATGTAGAGAGCTAATATCAACCAGCTTCCACATCCGCTCCTGACGAAGAGATCGCATGGGACGAGGACTCCGAGGAAGAAGAGGACGATGACGAGGATGAAGATGAGGACGAGGAGGAATCTGAAGAAGACTCGGATGACGATGATGAAGATGAGGACTCAGACGACAACGCAACTGTGGCTGCCACCTCCAAACCCACAGCAACTACACCCAAGCCCGCTTCCAAGGACCTTGCCGCCTCAGTTAACACTCTCAAGCCCGCGAGCGAATCCAAAGCACAAGCTGCCCAACCGCGCCGCTCCAACGACGAGAAGAGCGTGGCTGACAGCGATGCTAGTTACGATCTTGTCAGCGGAGCAACAAGCCGCGCACCAGGAAGCCCCCAGAACGACAAGAAGAAGGCGGTTGCCGAGGAAAGCGACGAGGAGGATTGGGAGTAAATTTCATAATTTTCTTACTGTGTTGGAGGATGATGGCACGGGCGGAATATCACTATGGGATCGAGACATGGGCGTTTATTGGCGTTTCTTTAAACTGGGTTCCCTTGGAGGAACTAGTAGTTTACGGTCTCCAGCTTTTTTGACAAGAGACACGGGGCATGTGGGAATTGAATATGTATGCTCCATATTTGTTGTTGTTTTTTTTTTAGAAAAAATACGTGTATTGCGCCTTTGCCGCTCTATGCTGTGATGTTTCTATGTAATTCTATGCTGGGTCGTTGAGAATATTGGAAAGTGGTATAAAACGCCCTGTCTCGAAATGAATGCCGCATGCAACTTGGGATAATGGACTTGTTACGAATTTCCATGGAAAAGCATTGTACTTGCATCATTCAATCCACCTCGCTCTGTCATATCGAACGAACCTCGAATCCTACCAGTAACTCATTCTTACTCAACACCATCATCTATCTTTCCACAGTTCCCGGCGGCGTATCCGGCGGTGCACTACCTCTAAACGAGTTTCCTCTAGACATACCATCATGCCCATGGCGTGACGGAGCTGGAGCCCGGAAACTGGGCTGCTTGAGCGTCTTCAGTTGACCACCAGGCTGCGTCGTCGCTCGACGCAGCAGTGGACTCGGCGATGCCGTGTTTCCGTATGACATACCCGATCGACCTGTACTTGACACATCGACTGCAGAGTATGCAGCATGTGCGTTCGACACAGGAGTCGCACTGTACGTTGAAGATGAATGACCCGGTGTACCTGGGCGAGAGCGTGAATACGCAGATGAAGAGCGCCGGGCAATCGGATATCCATCGTAATCGTATGATTGGCCGGCGCCATCTTCTCTTGGGGTTGCTGGGTCGTACCCGTCGTGTAACTCATGTTCGAGGTAATCCTCGCCCCGACGCTTGATTGGGCTTTCGTCGTAGGGATCAAATCCGACTCGCATACGGGCTTCGCGGCGTACGCGCCGGCGCATTTCAGCGTCGCCGCCTGCACCTACTGTGCTGCTATCCGATAAGAAGAAGTTTAGGAATTCGTCTGGGATGGCGAGGTGGGATGACTGTTGAAATTGCTGCAGTGCAGTCAAACGAATGAGCATTTCCAAGAGCGATAATGAAGTTTTGATTGCGGGCAGGCTTGTTGGTGCAGCTTGCGTGTACTGTGGTACTGGCGCCGAGACTTTCTCCGGTGACGGGATGATTTGGTTATGCGGTGTGGACTTTGGTGAATCTGTCGGCGTGCTGGGTTGTAGATTAAGGTTTGAGAAGTGGCTGAGGAAAGAAGAAGAGTCTGAACGGTCGTTGTGGGCTGGCCGATCTGCTAGTGTGGGCGACGAGACCTCTTCTTCCAAGTCCTCTGTCTCGTCAACCTCTGAGTCGGTCAATGGGTCTTCAGTGTACACCTCAAAGGCCATCCATTCCAGATCAAGTGTGGGAGGTAGACGCCAGGGATATGTTGGTTGTTCTGGCACTTGTGGGGCTGTTGGTTCTGGGTTTGGAGTTGATTCGCGTCGCAGTTGGTCTTCGAGCTGACTTTGCTCTAGATCTGATTCATCACCGCCAACAGTGTGGGAATCATCAGATTCATAATTAGTATCATCCGTATCCCGCTCCATCATGCGCCGCGGGGGTGCTGCATTGACGTCTCTCTTGAGCAGCAAGATGGGGTTGTTGCTCTCGCCGTCAGCACCAATGTTAAGAATCTTGCCAGTATCGGCATAGAAGATTTTGGCAACTTCGTGGATGGGTATGATCTCTCTGACACCAGCTTCACGAACGCCATCATAGGGCTCCGGCTGTGGCTCGCCGTCTTCGTACTCGTGCATGCGGCCGTCGTCCAAGTCTTCGACGATGAGCAACTGATATGCAAATTCTTGCAGAATACTTTCAGATGGTATGTGACGGTGGGTTGACTCGTCAGCCCGGCTACTATCTTGTCCAAAAGGTGTAGGGTAGTCGTAGACGTTGTCCAGCGGCACCCTCATGAGCGTGACACGGGCCTTGTGAATGACTTCTTTCCAAGTCGTCTCACGTAAATCTTCTTCGTGAGGTCGGTTTGCATGACCAGAGAACAGCATGTACATAGATAGGGTAAACGTTGGTCCAATTTGCTGGGCTCTAGGCTTGTTTGCACAGTACTGCATGTCACCAGAGGTAAGGAAGGTGCTTGCTTGCAATAGCCTTGATGGCGACACTGTAGCCGGTAGCGTGGTGGAGAGGTTGACACCAGATGTGGTGATGGCAAGGTTGATTAGCGGCACTGCGTCCTCGATGCGCTCCAATAGTCGCTTCATGTCTCCGATAATCACCTTGAGTTCGATGATGTTTTGATCGCGTGACTTTGCTCTCGAGCTTCCTCTCCTGGTGAGCTGCTCCTCGGCTACGGCCTTCTCAACCCGATTGCCTAGTGTCTGGATTTCCCACCGCAGCGACTTGGTCAAGCCAACGGCGGATTCTAGTGATGTGTTGCCACGCGCTGCAATCAATTCGATCATGTCGATGGCAGGGGATATGATATTGATTTTAGAATCCAACCTCATTTGTAGAGCAGCAAGCTCCTGCTTCTCCTGGCCGTCGACAGTCTTCATCAGACGGCCGCACTGCTTGAGCGCATAGTGGCTGGTGATTGCTATGCCGCTTCTGATGGCATAGCTCATAGCCTGCTGGGTGACCTGGCATATTGTCAGTTTGCTGACAGCGAGAGGGAACGAATATGCAGCTCTACGGTCTTCTGTAGGCGTATGAAGAGTCAGAAAATGGTCATACCTTTGAGAGTAGGACATCCATCTTGACCAATAAAGATGAGCGTCGCCTGGAGGATTACTATGCGGGTGCGGCGAACAAACAAGTCAAGAGCAGCAATGAGATCATGGGACCGGATGAACGCGCAGGCTGCGAGGAGAAGGGGCGAAAAGTATGACGAAATGCTAGAAGGATATGGAAAAGGGCTGGGCCATGGCTTATTATTTGTGAGTGGCTTTGTTTGTTGCTGGCTGCGATGCCAGTCGCAGCGAGGGCGCCCTGGCCAATGTTAGGCAGCGAGAGCAGCTCAAGCCTGAGTCAGCCCCACTGCGCCACTGCGAACAACCCCGCCAAATCCTTGCGTGGGCATCAACGACACGGCAACATTTTCGCTTCTCGCCGACGACACTCGATCGCCAGCCTATTTAGCCCTCACATCGCTCCTGGGCTGCCTAGACACCTATACGGCCTCTCTGCGCATTCTCACACGCCCACCATCCCAGGCCATTAGCGCATTCCCCGCCCCAACTCAGTCCTCACCTCTTAAAGAAAAAAAGTGCCATCACCATGGCGGACAACTGGGAGCAAGAGGAGGAGCGCCTCTCGCAGCAGGCGCAGGGCATGAATCTCAACAATGCGCCCACCTTCACCCCCGGAGCGCAGTCGTTCCAGCCCGGCGCGAGCTCCTTCGTGCCTGGCCAGGCCTATGGAGGCTACCAGGGCGGCTACAATCAGTACGGTCAGCAATATGGAGGATACAACCAGTACGCAAACCAGGGTCAGTACTACCAGCAGCAACAAGGATACCCTCAATATGGCCAACAATATGGCCAGCAGCAGGGCTATCCCAACTATGGCCAGTACCAGGGCCAGCAGAACTTCCAGCCCCAGCAGCAGCAGCAGCAACAAAGCCAAGGCCAGGCTCCTGTGCGGATAGCGAAGCGGGGAGACACAGACGTTGCCGGCTCAGCGGGCGCCGCCCCCGCTGCTGAAGCCAAAAAGGAGGCGCCCAAGGCCAAGGTCCTGTCCATTGGCGGCGACAGTGCACCCAAGGCCAAGGTTCTCTCGATCGGTGGCGACACTACTACTCCAAAGGTTGAAAAGGCAGGCGGAACCAAAGTCCTTAGCCTCGGAACACCAGGGGCACCATCCGCTGCCAAGGAAAAGGCCGACAAGGAGAAGGGAACCATTGATGCTGGAACCAAGGTGACTGCTGCAAAGGCCATTGAAAAGACTGGAGAACCGACCCCAGCTTCAGCAGGCTCTGGCCGTACTTCACCAACCCCCTCGTCAGGTCGCAACAGCCCAACTCCCAAAGAGAAGGCCCCTGAAAGGCCCATGGCCAAGCAACCAGACATTGAGAACGAAATTGCCGACATTGACGAGGCGACTCTCGCCGAAATCTATGGCAAGGAACATGTCAACATCATCTTCTTGGGTCACGTTGACGCAGGAAAGTCTACCTTGGGTGGCAGTATCCTCATTTCCACTGGCATGGTTGATGAGCGAACCCTTGACAAGTACAAGAAGGAGGCAAAGGATGCTGGTCGAGAAACATGGTACATTTCATGGGCACTCGATTTGAACAAGGAGGAGCGTGCGCAGGGTAAGACTATCGAGGTCGGTCGAGGTTTCTTCGAGACGGAGAAGCGACGATACTCGATTCTCGATGCCCCAGGCCACAAGACCTACGTTCCCAACATGATCAGTGGTGCTTCACAGGCAGACGTCGGTATTCTTGTCATCTCTGCTCGAAAGGGAGAGTACGAGACTGGATTCGAAAAGGGTGGGCAAACCCGAGAGCACGCCATGTTGGCCAAGACGCAGGGTGTGAACAAGATTCTCATCGTCGTAAACAAGATGGACGATCCTACTGTCGAATGGTCAGAGGACCGATTCAAGGAATGCACAACCAAGGTTGTAGCCTTTTTGAAGGGTCTCGGATACAACCCCAAGACTGACATTAGCATGATGCCTGTCAGCGCTCAAACTTTCACTGGAATCAAGACCCGTGTCCCCAAGGTGAGATGAATAGAGAACTAGGTTAGCGGCTGCGCTGACGATCTTACTCATAGGATCTTGCACCCTGGTACGATGGACCATCTCTTCTTGAGTACCTAGATAACATGCAGGCCCTTGAGCGCAAGCTCAATGCTCCCTTCATGATGCCCATCGCGGCAAAGTATAAGGATATGGGCACCATGATCGAAGGCAAGATCGAATCTGGTATCATCAAGAAGGAGAACAAGTAAGTTGTTTGTACGAGGTCTGCCTGAAACACACTGACAATTGCAAGATACCTCATGATGCCCAACCGACAAACCATTCACATCTCCGCCCTGTTCGGTGAGCAGGAAGACGAAATTCCTGGCGCGGCTTGCGGCGACCAAATTCGTGTGCGAATCCGAGGTGTGGAAGAAGAAGATATCTTGCCCGTAAGTAAATTTTGTGACTACATTACTGAGCTGGATACTGATTATGCAACTATATAGGGTTACGTGCTGTGCTCGCCTAAGCGACCCGTTCACTGCGTTTCCCAGTTTGAGGCTCAAGTCGTACTTTTGGACATCAAGTCTATCGTGACTGCTGGTTTCAACTGCGTTCTTCACGTCCACGCAGCACAAGAAGAAGTCACCATTAGCGCACTACTGCACAAGCTTGAGAAGGGTACCGGAAGACGATCAAAGAAAGCACCTGGATTTGCGACAAAGGGCATGAGCATCATTGCACGATTGCAGATTACCGGTACGGCCGGAAGCATTTGTGTTGAACGTTTCGAAGACTATCCTCAGCTTGGTCGTTTCACTCTCCGTGACCAGGGTCAAACGATTGCCATCGGAAAGATCACCAAGCTCATCACAGATCCCGAAGCTTAAGTTATTCGACAGTGTCATATAGAGGAAGAAGGGACGGCAAGGTTGTGATATGGGCGACGGGACTACTCTTGGTTCTGGTAACCAGCTGGATGGCGTTATGGATGCGAGGAAAAGATAAACCTATCATCTAAAAGAATATGATTAAGCGTATTTTTCGACTGCTTCCTGCTATAATTGCACATTGAAGCCCTCATCTTGGAAATGACGCATGCGAACTCAGGTTGGGCATATCTGGCCGTTTCGGCCCTATTCATGTCACAGAAAGAGACAAGCCTTTTAGTGCTACAATCTACGAGAAACCTTAAATGACTTTCCAAGTCGAGTAATTTCTTACGCCGCTAGCCATGGCTTGGACGTTGAGATAGGAGCAATTGTAAGTTCACCGATTCGCACATTGCAGGTGACGTCATGTTTGGGCATAGCGAGGCTGCGGCTGTCTGACCATCGGCATAACTGGAGACCGACGACGATGCAGCTGATCGGAGTGGCAGCTTATGTCATCCACCTCCGCGGCCAAACGTCTTTCCCGCACTTAAAGCCTAACCTCATATTGTTCACACACCGGTTCCCTATGACATAGCGCACGTCGCGCCCTCCCTGCATCACGGCCCGCAACGATGCAGGGCTTCAACATGGGGCGGTACTACCCGCCTGATGCCTCCAACCCGCCGAGCTTCAACAACAACTCGCATCCCCTCGGCAAACGCGCAAACAAGATCTCCCAAGGCATCCTTACTGTTCGCTTCGAGCTTCCCTTTGCCGTGTGGTGTGACCACTGCACTCCTTCAGCCATCATCGGTCAAGGCGTACGTTTCAATGCCGAAAAGAAAAAGATAGGCAACTATTACAGCACACCAATATGGAGTTTTCGCATGAAGCACAGTGCTTGCGGTGGATGGTGGGAGATTCAGACCGATCCAAAGAATAGCGAGTACAAAGTCGTTGAAGGAGCGCAGCGGCGAGACTACGGACCGGGAGACAAAGGACCAGAAGCTGAGGGAGAGCTCAAATTCTTAACCGATGAAGAACGTCAGAGACGGAGGGAAGATGCTTTTGCGAGCCTCGAGGGGAAGCTAGAAGATAAAAACGCGGAAAAGAAACACAAAGAAAGGGTAGAGGAACTCTACGATCAAAGTGAAGTCTGGCGGGACCCATACGATGTGAACGCACGACTCAGGAGAGATTTCCGCGCGAAGAGAAAGGTCTGGAAGAAGGAAGAGATGCAAAAAGAGGGTATACAGGCAAAGTTTAGTTTAGGACTAGATATTGCGGACGAAACAGAGGCAGACCGGATGCGTGCCGGCTTGATCGACTTTGGCGCAAGCGCTTCGGGCGCCCAAGAACTCGAGCAACAGTCGTGGAAACCAATTTTTGAGGAAAAAGACATTAGCAAGGCTGTTGAGCCTACTTCAAAGACGAGAAAGCTAAAGGCAGAGCTGGCAGCAGAAAAAAGCCGACAAGGGTTGCAACAAACGCTTATTGGCAATACGCGAGCAGCAATTGACCCTTTTCTATCAAAAGACAGCGGACCGGCGTCGAGAATCAACCTGGGTATCTTGAAGAGGAAGCGAGACGCCCCAGCCGAAGAAGAAGTCTCTACAGTGTCGCCAGTGGAAACTGGTGATGCGACTCTAACCAAGAAACCTGCTTTGCTATCAACACTAGTAGGCTATGACTCGGACTGAATTACATGGCGCCACAACAAAGAGTTCGAAAATAGCCGTGGAACTAGAGTTCAACCTTCTCGTACTATACATTTTCTGGAGTTTGGGTAACTGGCATGTGATACCCCACTTTCCATATCTAAGATGGTGTTGTTATTAATAACTATACTTTGATTTGCAGGAGGCATTCTCTTCATACTTGTAGTTACGACGAGCTTCGGGAGTTCATTACGACTTCCTTACATTTTTGCGTACAATATTGTGTATCGATGCTTTAGCGGAATAGATATAATGAATAATAGGCCAGCTTTTCTGTAGCATGTACTGAAATTTTGATAGTAATGCATTCTGTTGTATGGCACAAAAGATTCCAATATCGCATGTTTATTGTTTTTCTTTCTTCTTCAGCCTCTCCAGCAAGTGCAAAAAAGGGAATAGAAAGTAGTTACGTATCTTCTTCCCGTGCGGTGGTGCCAAGCAAGGTTTAGGTTATCGGTAAAATCACATGAGCACTCTTTCATTTTGAGCCAAGTTCGTAAACAATCAGTTTTTACGAATATGTTGAAATTTGTTTGAATATCCTGGCACATACGGCCATAGATTCAAGGGATTTAGGCATCCCGTCCGATCTGCCCTATACAAGCTTGAAATCGGCGGATTAGTAGTCAGGTGGGTGACCACTGGCGAATCCCCGCTGTCGTATGTTTTTGCAGAAAATATGACTTTTTTTGCCCAAGTTGCTGCGCAAGTCACGTGCGCACCACCTCATCAAAAAAGTAGCAGTGCTTAGCGCGGGCAGTACTCAGGTCCATACTGAGTAGGCGCTAAGTACTGTCACTTCTTTGTTGACGAGGGGTGTGCGCAAGGTCTTGGTACATGAACGCTGAAGTTACTTGAAGAGTTCTTAATCCGTTGTTCTGAAAACATAAGACATGTGTTCATGATTGTAAGTATCGGAGCTACTAGTTCATTAATGTGCACAGAAAAAGGTCCATGGAAGGCCGACAGTTGGCAAGGGGGAAATGACGGGCACAATCAGGATTGGGCGGGTTGAATAACGGGCTTGGCAGCACAACGGGAAAAAGGGTCTCTATGACGTAACGAAGTGGACCTGCATGCATCGCAAATCCGGGGATCATCTCCACCTGCCTCTAGCCCCCAAGCTCCCATAGCCCCTAATCTTCACAAGACAATTCTTGGTGCACCCTTTTGCTTGTTCCTTTTCCTTTTGTTTGTCACGCGTTGCGTATTTCTTTTTTTCTCCCGCAGTTGTGACTCGACGTCTTCCTGGAAACGTCTTCCTGGCCTGTCCCGCCAGTTCCGCACCCCTGAATCAAACCCGCGATGCCTGTGAATACGATTTCTGTGGGCGCTGCTGTTACGCCCACTATTATCCAGACATATCTCTCACATTATCTCAACCGACGGCCCCTTTCGCAGAAGCCTACAGCGCACATATCCTACCACGAAGGCCTCGAGCTCATTCGCCGTTTCCTCCATTATGCCTCACTACATACTGTCGATGAATTGCAGGCGTTCACCTCGCAGTGGGTCCCGGTCCCACGCTGGGTACATGTAAATGAGGTGGAAATCTCAAGCCGTCTGTTACAGCGCTCTGCCGAGCTCGTTTCCGCGCAATTGGGCCCCAAGGGCATTAGGGCCGTCGGAGGAGAACAATGGTGGCAGTGGCGGCGCGAGGGAACCACACTAAAGGCAGAATGGATTGAGATGCGTAAGGACTATGAGGCGAGAAAGCAATTAGCAATTCACAAGGGCGACCGCATCATGCTCTACGTCCATGGCGGCGCCTACTTCTTTGGCAGTGTAGATGAGCACCGCTATCAAATGCAAAGACATGCGCGCAAACTCAAAGCTAGGGTTTTGGCTCCCAAATACAGACTTGCGCCACAATTTCCGTTTCCATGCGGTCTGCATGATTGTAGGTAACTAACCGGCCATCTGTGCTCCATGTTAACAGTCGTAGGTTTGGCCGTATACCTCTACCTCCTCGAAGAGAAGCATGATCCGACTACCATTATTCTTGCAGGTGACTCCGCGGGCGGAGGGATGGTCTTGAGCATGCTGGTAACGCTTCGCGACCAAGGCATACCTTTACCCGCGGGAGCGATCCTGATTAGCCCTTGGGTGGATCTGACGCATAGCTTCCCAAGTCTAGGTGGCGATGGCAAGATGGACTATATCCCACCTCACGGGTTCTTACACAAACCCAGCATCAGTTGGCGTAGGTTGTCTTCTTCGGCTATATACAACTAGCAGCTGACTCTGTCCTAGCACCTCCAAATGCAGACGACATGCTTGAAATCGAAACATCGGCAAAAGGAGGAAGCGAGAAGGACGACGAGACAAAGAAGGCGAAAGGCCGCGAAGAAACCAAAGAGCAAAAAGCAGACCGCGTACGCGGATTTTCCGTCACCTCCAACGATCGTCCTGTCTTCGAAGATGGCTCAAAGCCTTCTGGTACGGGCCATGACGCCGATGCCTGGATCTCGCCCGACGGTAAATACAGCGTAGGGCCAAAGAGTCAGCTTTCGGTGCAACTCGAAGACGTGCGAGTCGAGATCAAGGATCAGATCCAGTTGTACACTCCCAACCACATGCTGACACACCCTCTGGTTTCACCAGCTTTACAGCCAACACTCGGGGGCTTGCCGCCTTTATTGATTCAGACAGGAGGTGGTGAGTTGCTTAGAGACGAGCAAATCTACCTTGCCCACAAAGCTGCACAACCACTTGCCTATATACCACCGCCATCCAACAACCAAACTGCCGAGGAGATCCAGGCTCAGGTAGCCAACTACAAGCCAACCAATGTCCAGCTCCAGGTCTGGGATGACTTGTGCCATGTGTGCCCTACTCTCAGCTTTACACGGCCAGCCAAACACATGTACCGTAGCATTGCTCAGTTTGGTGCCTGGGCACTTGCGTGTGCTCAAAAGAAGTCCATTGACATACTCGACGACGACGCGATTTCCCATCTGAGCAGTGATTCGAGTTCTTCATCAGAATCCGAAAGAGCTGGCCCCAATGTTCCATTCAATGGTGCAAACACATCGAATACGAATTCTCCACAAAATGATTCGACAACTGAAAAGAAGGGACAGGCGGAACCCCGCGTCGGCAGAGCTGGTGACCCGATTCCGCCTTTCGAAAATCATATGATTCGTCAACGCGTCGACCGACATGGGCGAATCTATCCACTCGCCGCCAAGGAAGACCTCCCTGCTCTCAATATTCCTAGCATTGATGTTGGCGTGCCAAAAACGGGCCCTGTGAGCAAGTGGATGAAGGCACAGTCGCAATGGAACTCGAAGTTTGCAAAGCAAAAGATCAAGATCCAGAATCAGAGGATTGAGGACATGCGAAGAGGTTTCGAGGGCTTTGATGGAGAAATGCCACCCCCTACAGCCCTCGCTGGAAGACGGGTCAAGGGTATGAAGAATGAAAAGGCTAAGAAGAAGAGCTGGGGTATGTCGATGTGGTCTATCTGGGGCAGTTCCCATGATCAAGCTACCGTAAGTCTGCGTATCATTGAAGGGCGTGATCTGTACCTCTAGCTGACGGATACAGATTGTACGAGAAGGAAAGGCAGAGCAGAGTGTTACCGAGCCAACAAACACTGTGGAAGCTCCACAGCCTTCAGATACAGATGGTGCAACGGAAAGCAAGTCCAAGCGAAGTCGTACAACTGGACTGTCTATGCCGAATTTCAAACGCGCGAGGTCACGCTCTCGCGTTTCTGCTGTTACCGATCGAGGCCAGGCTGATATGGCTATGGACGATCTGTCCCAGATGGACCTACCAAAACCTGGGCTTGCCGACGCAACAAGACTGGCACCTGAGCGTGCTGCTTCGGGCTTACCATCGCTCACTGTTGAACAAGACAATCATACCTCCACGCCGAATGTCATAGCCTCAGATAATCCTGCATTACCCAGTACCATCATTCCCAGTACCGATACCCTGACAACACGTCCTACAGCAGGTGGCATCGCGTATCCATTCCGTCTCAAGGTTGATGGAGCAGAAGGAAGGGATGTCAACGCTAGCACGGTTACACTTGCCAGTGTAAACATTACTACACCCCCGGCTGTCGATTCAAACGAGTTTGACAAACAGCTTGGGAATCCTACGTCGATTTCTGAGACCATCAATGATCAAGTGCAGAAGGAGCAAGGAAAAGAAAGTAAGCACAGTTCAAGCACCGGAAAAGGGGCGGGACTATTTAGCGATGGAGTTGAAGAACCAGAGTCCGACGAGGAGCAGAAGGTGGAGCGCCCGCCTGTAGAGAGATTTGAGACCGCAAAAGAAGACCTGAGTATTCTTGCTGCAGGCGATGCGAAGTCGTAATGGCAGGTAGTAAACGGAGTTGGTTGGAGTGAAAAGGTTAAGAGTGTGACATGTAGATACCCCATCGCGAGATATTCATAATACTGATACATAGGACAATACTGCTGTTCAACTTTCTTTACTACTAGAGTGTATTTTTAAAATTCTGAAAGCTTCTGGTTGTCTTTTAGACTTTCTGCTCCGCCATCCACTTTTCCGCCTCTTCCTTGTACTCTGGGCGCCATCTCGTCAACGGCGGCCGTCCGCCGATAATATCGCCAACACTCCATAGCATACGTTTCTTGTCCGTCTCTTCAGTGACTTGGCCATCGGGGCAAATGATATAGAACTTGTCATCTTTCATCTTCTCAAGCATGTACTCCGCCACTTGATCCGCAGACCACGCACCCTTTGGCGTCTCTGTGTCGCTGCCAGGCACTTTTCCAGCCTACAACCAAATAATTAGTAAACGCATCCAAATAAAATCCCTCCGCTCACACATGAAAATTCAACGCAAAACTTACCAACCCCGTGAATGTCCACCCAGGGACCAACAAATGTACCCCAACATTCGTATCCTTGAGATCAAAACTCAGATGCTCAGCCAGCGTCTTTACTGCCGCTTTACTAGCATTGTACGCCGCGTTTCCGGGCGGATTCGTAATCCCCTGTTTACTCCCCGTAATCACAATCGCCTTCTTCCCCCCTTCCTTCTCTTTCTCCAACATCACCGGCACAAACGCATTGAGCCCATTCACCACGCCTCCCAGATTCGTCCCGAGAATACTATCAAAGTAATCAGCGTCGCCCCACGTTCCCTTTCCCCCAATACCAGCGTTCAGCATAAGGAAATCGATGTCTGTGCCGATGTGTTGTTTGAGAGTGGCCCAGTCGGAGCGGGAGGTTACGTCTGCTTTTATGGAAGTTAGGTTTCCCGAGAGGGATTTGGTGGCCTGGTCGAGCAAGGTTTGGTTGGTGTCGGTTAGAGGTGCCGGACGGGCCAACGCCGCGGACGGGCCAACGCCGGATTTCTCCCCAACAGTACTATCACAAACTTGAAGCTGTAGAGCTCTACATAAAAGCTATTATCGCGAGAAACTCTAGTATAGTAATCTCGTAGTATTGTTTATTTGATCTATCTACTGATATTTGATTGGCAGCTTGATGGGGCGGCCTGAACGCGAGCGTGGTGATGGTGGTGCAGCTGATCGATTAGCTCGCTGCGCACCACCACTACTACTGCCAACGATAATATTCTTTGATGCTAGCTCAGTAGAGCGCTTGAAGGTAGGCTTCTTTCCCCTTTGTGAGATTTTGATAGCTTTCTGAAGTCGTTTGTGGGCGGCTTGGCGGGCTATCCGGTGGGCAGCTGCTTCAGCTTTCTGCCTCTCACGATCTAGTTTTGCCTGTGCCCGCGCCCGCCGTCGCGCATCTAGTTCTTGAGCTTTGAGTAGCTTTCTCTCCTCTCTAGCT